GGSYTTTTTTTTTTTTTAACCTATTTTACAAGTCTATTCCAAATACATGAATAGCCATCTGGGTCCAGTAGCTGCTGTGCCCTTGTCCACCGCAGAACCACACTCAGTGACCAACCACAAGCTTAAGGATATCGGGGTCCAGTTTAGCTACTTGCCCTGGGGGGAAGAGAGAAATGAGTCCCCTCTACCCTGTAAAGGAGTGCCATCTTAGCCCCAGCAGGTGGAGGAGGAATGTACAATTATGTGCTGGGCTGTGTGCAGTCAGTGTGCCCTGGTCTAGCCATCTGGCTTGATTAATCGTCTCTGTGCTGAACTAGTTTGTACGTATGTACATATTTTGAATATCATCCTTGCTTGTAGGCATGGAAATATGAAATCCACAGACACCCCAAACACCAGAAGCATACATGCATGTACACGTTTATCATTATACCAAGATACATATGCAGTTATATTCTTTTTTTAAGTATTTTTCTAGTTATAGACTGACATAATATCTTTATTTATTTTTATGTGGTGCTGAGGATCAAACCCAGTGCCTCACACTTATGAGGCAGGCTCTCTACCACTGAGCTACAGTCCCAGCCCCTGCAGTTATATTCTTTTAAGTTTAAAAGTAGAAACAACATGAACTTGGAAAGCATGAACTGAACTGATGCATGGAGTGACGAAACCTTAGGGAAGGCTCTATCTGCTCCAAGTCTTCTCTTGGCCTCTCTCTTAGTCTTTCTTTCTTTCCTTTTTTTTTTTTTTAAATTCATTTATTTGTATGTGGTACTGAGAATCAAACCCAGTGCCTCACACATGCTAGGCAAGTGCTCTACCTCTGGGCCACAGCCTCAGCTCCTCTCTCTTAGTCTTGATGTCTTCAATTCTTTTCAGGTATCACAACGGAAGGGAATAAAGGGGACACAGGCACACTCAGTGTCAAACAAACAGGTCCCCCAAAGCAGGAATACAATGCAGTCTCATTTTCCAGATTKTGAAGTGTGCATATTGAGAAAGCTTAAAAAAAAAAACATTTTAGCAGGGATTGGCAAAATTATTCTATAAAGGCTCAGATAATTATTTAGGTATTTGGGGGGAGGGGGGACATATGGTCTCTTTTAAAAAATTGAACTCTGCTGTTATAGCACAAAGGTAGCCAATAATAAGTAGGCAATAATAAGCAAATAAACATGGTTCTGTTGCAATAAAACTTTATTAACAAGGAAAGGTGACCAAGGAGTTTCATTGACAGACTTGTGTAACAGAGTGTAAGAACCTAGAAGCCATCAAGTCTGGCTTCACAGCTTTCAGGGGTTGACAGGGGCTCCATTCCGTTCCCTCCAGAAAAGGCAAAAATAATTCTCTTTGTCGTGGCATTAGTTTTGTTTTATCGTGTCCTGTGCCCTGGTGTTTTGATGTGGTGGTGAAGTGATGCAGTACTGGGCTCAAACCCAGGGGCACTTGACCACTGTTACATCCACACCCCTTTTTACTTTGCTTAGGGTTTTGCTAAATGTTGAGGCTGGCTTTGAACTTAGATCTTCCTGCCTCAGCCTCCTGAACCGCTGGGATTACAAGTGTCCACCACAGTACCTAGCTTCACATTCATTCTTGCTAACTACTTTCCAGGTCCCTCATCAGTTCTGGGGTAAGAAGTGATGTGCAGTAATGAAAAGATCACTTGTCTGGGTGGGTCACTGGGCAGAACAAGCCAGCAGTCTGCTGTGTATCTTTGGGAAAATTACCTAAGCTCTCCAAGCCACTCTTTCCTTATCTAATAAATGAGGGAGTTAACTAACTGGCCTCTGAAATCCCTTCCAGCTGTGAGCTTGTGATTTTAGGAAGCTACAGCATCAACTCTGTGCAACTGTCTGGGGCCATTAATTAAGATGTCACTCACAGACCTTAAGGAAACTGCCAGGAGGCAACAGAAATCCGCTCCGTGATCTGTAACTAGCAACCTTCCTAAGGCCTTCACAGCTGAGGGGCAGAGGGTGCCTGTGAACTCAGCGGATGTGAGAGCCCAGCACACTAAGGGGAGAGGAGGAAGACAATCCAGGGAAAACAATCTACATTCTAGGCTGTCATTGTACAGCTACAAAATGCACACAAATATTGACTTAGCTGGAAACAAGATCCCAGGGAGCTACTATTGGAAAGTGGGACACCTTCTCCATCAGATCCTTCATGTGGGGCTTTTCTGGCCATGCAGAGGATACCCTTCAAAGCCCTTCAGATAAATATATGAATAGGTTTGGAGGAAATGTGGCATTGAGGAGCTAATAAAATAAACTACCAGATCCCAGCATGTGTCAAAGGAAAGCAGTCTCCTCTGAGCAGGGGTGAGGGAGGCCAGGGAAGGAAGGAGAATGAGGTTGGCTGGTGCAGAGGCTGGCACTGGTGGGCTCATGATGAGCAGGGACCTGGAGCTCTGTCCCTCCCTCCTAGACACAGTCTTGAGGGTGGGGAGGGAATGGAGGAGCCCACATCCTGGCCTCCAGAAGTGCAGGCTTTTATTGCCTGACTCTGCTAAAGTTGTCTCACTTGTAGTCTAAATAACTAACTTACCCATCCGTAAAGGAGGATTCAGAGAAAAACAAAACCCACCCCTGCCCTCAAGTTCAGGTTCCCATTGCACCCAGGGCAGGACAGGAGGCTGGGAAGCCATCCCAAGCTGCAGACATGGCCTGACTTCAGAGGTTCGCTGGGATTAGTGACTGTCTAAAAAAAGGCCAAGAGTTGTTTTTTGTATTTGAGCTGATGATTTTGCAATTTTGAARGTTTTTTTTTTTTTTTAATCAAACAACGAAAACAAAGAATGTGCAACAGAGACTTCTATGGTCTGCAAAGCCTAAAATATTTACTCTCCGACTCTTTCCAGGAATAGTATGTCAACCTCTACTCCCTCCTCCAGGTCCTTTCCCAGCCTTGAAGGAGGCAAGGATGGCTTTGATCAGCTCCCTGATAACCCCACCYGAGAGCCCACTGTATGCAGAGATTGTAGTTGTCAGAGCACTGATATTTACAGTCCAGCAAGAAGCTGGCACCATTGTTCACCCCATTAACAAAAAAGAAAGAAAAAGAAAAAATACACTAGGGTGGGGTGAGGGACACATCAGTCTTGGTTCTACCATATAAAGAGGTAGGCAGAGAGGGAGGAACTGAGACTAGTCCCAAATCATCTTATTTGCCTTCTTGAGGATCAGAAAGCGGCATCACCCCAGTTGGTTTCTGATGACACCCTACTCCCTAAAGCCCTGGTGATCCCCACCGTCACAGAGGCTGCATCCAAGCTATCATATGGTGCCAGCTGATCCTCAGCCCTAGACAAAGGCTCCAGCCTACCACCTCAGCAGGTGACTTTGAAGGGACAGGACTTTGGCCAGCCCTACACTCCTCCCAGACTTTCTCCTAGAACCGGAACCTCTGAGAGTGTCAGAGGCTAAAGACCACAAAAGAGACAGGTCAGAGCAGGCAATGGGGATGGCAACCAATCGCCCCCACTGCAAGTGGGCTGAGTGACCTCTGTGTTATCATGGAGCCTATTTGGAATTTGGGGGGCTTAGGGCAGAGTGGAGACAAAGTGACTCTACATCCTGGTGTGTGAAGATTCTGGGTTATTGCAGATAGGAGAACAGTAAACTTGGTCAAAGTGTCTAGCATGTTCCAAGAAAAATGTTGCTACTGTCCAGCCAATACTTTACAGGGTCAGGCGTAACAAGGAAGGTCCAGGTTGGAATCCCAATGTCCACACTAGTGAAAGGCTGCAGTCTTAGAGATTTGAGAGACCAGGCTGTGAGCTCATGGGATAATCATCTCAATCTCAGCACTCTGGGGCTCAGGGATCAGTTTCTTTTCCTTTCTCTCTCTCTCTCTCTCTATCTCTCTATCTCTCTCTCTCTCTCTGTAATGCTAGGGAATCAACCCAGACCTCACATATGCTAAGCAAATACTCTACCATTGAGTTACACCCACAGCTCTTTTTATTTTGAGACAGGGTCTTGCTAAATTTTCCAGGCTGTCCTCAAACTTGTGATCCTCCTGCCTCAGCCCCAGAGTTGCTGGGATTATAGGGGTGCGCCACCACATCCAGATTTCTAATCTGTTACAATAAGCAAATGAACAGAAACCTGAGGTGCTTGGATGAGGCTAATTCTAAGGATCTGTGCATTCCATACCCAACAAACAGCTCAAACATGCCAGGACTCCACAGATGCTTTGCTGGAAAAGTTGTCACGATCGTTGCTTTCCTTCCCCAAATCAATCCAATCCCATCCAAATGAGAGGCCTCTGGCCTGGCATAAGGGAGAAATCTTTCCTTCAACTTGTTAGCAGTTGACCAGGGAATCAGGATGGATGGAAAGGTGCTGAGTGTGTGAATTCTCATCTTTGTGCCTTGTGACCAGGGGGGTACCCAAAGAGCTTCGAAATTTTCATCCCCAAACTCCTACCATGCCCACAGCGGGTGGTTCAGAAGTCATGGTTCCATAGACTCTCAATGACCTAAATTATCTGTCTTCAATTCCCCCAGCCCAACTGGATATTCCTTAAGGGCAGGAATTGTGTCTTGACCTTCTTTGTCTCTAGCAGAGCACAGTCTTCTAGATATGCGGTTGGAGATCCATCCATATCTGCTTAACGACTTGATTAAAATCAAGAGAGGTAATGCTGAATTTGACATGGAGCATGAGTCCAGGTGAGCTAATCTCTAAATTTGCTGGGTGATGACTGGATGCCATTCTTCAGTCCAAGGCTCAATCAAGCTTCTCCTGTCCCAACTGTGATCCCTAAGAGCTATCGTGTGACCTAGACAGCAAAAAACAGAGGAAGGTTAGAGAAGACAAGGTGGATCCATTCCAGTGTGCCAGAGACTCTCCAGGATATGCAGGTCACATTGATGCTGGTCCCTTGCTCCTGAAGCAGTCCAGGCTGGGAAAGTGGCCAGGTGGACCATGCAAATGTAAATCAGGCACACTTTTCCCACTATTTGCTTCCAGGTCACTGTACAAATTGCAAGCACAGTGTAGGCTTCATGGGCTAAAAACCTAAACATATAATGTGGCGACAAATGTCACAAGCTCTGTGGTGGGTCTCACTCTCATCTAGGCTTAGGTATATTCAGAATGGCTGTCTCCTTTSTCTGCCTACAGATAAGATGCTCTATATCTAGTCAAACTCCCTGCTCCATTTGTTCTGTGCTCTGGGAAAATGGTTGCTTTCTTCAAAACTGTAGAGGCTGCCTTTCCTTCTCTTCTTTTTTTTTTGCCTGTTTGATGTGTGTGGTGATGGGTACGGAATGTAGAAGGCAGTGCCTTGGCTGGCCCCGCAGTGTCACTCAACTGTACAAATGGTGATGACAAAGAGATGCAACTAATTAACCATGACACGCATGGAATTGCTAACAACTTTAATAAAATTTTAATTACCCCTTGTTTCATGGGGCAGGCAACAAACCATGAAAATAATAATCCTCTTGGGTGCTGTCACAGCAGACAGAGCAATTTGACTAGAGGAAGGGARGTGTGAACTGTAAGGAGTTTAGAATTGTGGGAATGGRGGGACAGTCCATGGAGAAGTGGTGGGCAGAGTGGCTACTATACCTGGAATTCAGGTAGGAGGAGAGACTCCTCCCTGAATTATCTAGATAGTTTCCCCAATTCCCCACTTTGTTTGTATAGACTTGATGTTTTCCAGAAGCAAACTCACTATAGGCAAAGAAGAGAAAACAAGGCATATGGACCATCAAAAAATCTGCCAGAAAGACACTCCTGGATTTCTGATCCAGAGCCCTAACACCAGTCCCCAGAGTCCGACCGTACGTGGAAGGACCACCTGGGGATGCAGTGAGTATCTCACTGCTCACAGATACCAMCTTGGGTCATGCCATCCTGGATCCCCAGGGCTCCTGTGCTCCCTTGGCTGCCCCAGGTGAAAGGGGAAGAAGAGGAGTAGAATGAGGTGTCCACCTGGATACCTTAGTGGTTTTGACTTTGTGTCCACTGCTGCAGCTCCATCCTGACAGGTCCGGGAGCACCTTACACTCCTCCCCTGGCAGGCAGGGCTCCATCTGACACCACCACCTCTGCAGGATGATAGAGGCTATTGGGGCAGGAGGCAGGAGTGCAGCTCTAAGCTCTCTGCGAGCACAGCCGGCAGTCAAGAGGGGGGTCTGCGAATGAGGTACACATTTCCACACACCCCTGGCATGGAGTCCCGTGTTTCCCTTGTCTGCCGCCCTACTCTGGGCTGCCCAGAGAGGCAGAACTGTTGAGGCCTGGGGACATACCCCTACCAACTTTAATCCTACGGGTCCYAGCATCTCACCAAAGACATCGAGGGGGAATGGAGGCAGGTGAAGTTGCCTCTGAGGCAACCACGTCATTGGCACAGAGTCACCAATCTGCAGCTTGGTGTGTGTGAGCAACTATGCACCAGGTGCAGAGGTCCACAGACCAGGAGGGCACAAGCTGGCATGCATGTGATCACAGTGGGCGTGGTTACTCGGATGCCACTTAAGGGTGAGAACAGAAGCCAGAGTGGGTAGGTRGGAAAGGGTGATGTGAAGGAACACACGTGTCCACGTAAAGCCAGGGTTAGGAACAAGAGTAGAGCATGTGGAAGAGAGAGCAGTAAGTCAAGAATCCACGTCTGAAAGGCTATGCGTGGCAGAAAGCCTAAAGTATGAGGGAACGTGTCTGTCGGTGTGGGCTGGGCAGTGAGGGCCAGCACACGACAAGAGCTTTCCTTATCTATGACACAGAGATAATCATATCTGCCCTCCTGTCCCCCAGAGGGTGCCCCATCATTTGAGACTCTGATCATGAAAGCCCTGAGATGGGGATGAAATTGGATCCCCGGCAGATGGCAAGGCCCAACCAGACCTCCTTATCTCTCTGCTCAGAGTCCCCCTGACCAGGGCCTGGCTTCTCACTCACCATCCACACAGGAGGGCTTTGCCCGCGTAGTGCCAGCCACCTGGCCGGAAAAGCAGGAGCATTTTACGGTCTGGGAGCGCTCCTYGATGCGGTTCCTGTTGCAGCAGCGGTGAGCAGCGATCACCTCACAGGTGCCCTGCTTTACAAGGACTGATGGGGCCAGCCACATCAGATCAGGTCCCCAGCCCAGGCCTCCAGCCCTGCTCCCCTCCCACCYACCTGCTGKTCCTGGAGCCCCTTCTACCTGCTAGGGAGAAGGCCTTTCCTTCCTTCCTTCCTTGTTTKTGTGTGTTGGGTGGGAAGTACTAGGGATTGAACCCAGAAGCCCTCTACCACTGAGYCGCACCCCCARCCCTTTATATTTTACTGGGAGACGGGGTCTGGCTAAGTTGCTGAGGCTGGCTTCAACTTGCCTCAGCCTGGGAAGTCACTGGGATTACAGGTGTGCACCACTACACTTGGCGGGGGAAGGTTATTTAAGAGATTTCCAGGGCTGTGGTTTTAGCTCACTGATGGACCACGTGCCCAGCAGCATCGAGTCCTGGGGTTCGATCCCCAGCATCACACACAGAAAAAATCCAATGGCAGGGGAGAAAGAAACAGATGAAATCTTCCTGCTCCTCCCCAGTGAGGCCGCACTCATCACCCTTTGGCAGACCCTGGCTCAGAGCAGAAGAAAGCTGAAGTCCCGCACCAGGTCCCGCCCCCACCTTCCTGCTTTCTCAGGGTGAGGGCAAGGGCCCCAGGGCTTACAGTGCGTGGGGAGGATCATCCGCTTATATAGGCTTTAGCCATCCCAGAAGGAAAACCCCAGAATTAGGCCAGGAGGCTAGACTTAAGCCCCCACCCGAGGGCCTCTCTCCCTGCAGAACACCTTCTGGCCTGGAAGGGACAGAGAGCGGTGGGTCTGCCCAGCCATCCTCCTGGYGGGGATARCAGAAGGGAGCAGTTGCYTGGGTGATGAACAGAGGAAGAGTCAGAATCCTGAAACCTATGGATTTTACTCTGCCTCCGAGACCAGCTCGCTGTGTGGAACAGGGTGGGGTGCTATCCAGTTTTCCAGGTGTGCTGGAAAACCTCCTCCCCACTCTCTACCACCTCCCGCTAACCTGTGGCAGTGGGGGGCTGCGAGGAAGCAGAGGCCAGGAGGGTCCACAGCCACGTCAGGCACAGTGCCAGCAGCCAGTGGCCTGAGTTCCAGTTCTGCACGGCCCTTTCACTCATCCTGTGGAGAGAAGGGCACACCTCGCACAGCTCCAGGCAGGAGGGGCTCTCCTAGTGCCCAGCCCCAGTCGCTTCTCTGTGCTATGCCCTCTGGGAGCCAAGGGTGGGTAAGATGCTCACCTTGTCCCCAGGCAGCTCGCAGCCTGGCACAAAGTCACTGTAGGAAGCGATGGATGCYACAGAGAACAGGGGAGTAGGAAGGGAGGACCTGAGGAGGAAGTGACATTTAAAAGGGGTCTTAGAGCTGGGCACAGTGGCACACTTGTAATCCCAGAGGCTTGCGAATCTGAGGCAAGAGGATCCAGAGTTCAGAGTCAGACTCGGCAAAAAGCGAGGAGCTAAGCAACTCAGTGAGACCCTGTCTCTAAATAAAAAACAAAATAGGGCTTGGAATGTGGCTCAGTGGTCTAGTGCCCCTGAGTTCAATCCCTGGTATCCCCCAAAATTTAAAAAAAGGGGGGGCTGTGGTGTAGGAGGAACAATCATGCTAACTCCCCTCCCACCTTTTTTTTTTTTTTTGAGTTCTTAACCCAGGCATGCTCTTGAATCCTTCATGACTATTCCAMAAAGTAGGATAGTTATTACCTATTTTATAGATGAGCAAAAGGAAACTCAAAAAGTCTGGACACAACCCAAACAGCCACCAGTGAAGGACTGGCTAAATGCATTGGAGAGAATCTGTACCAGGGCAGTCTCTTCCAAACAGCTGTGGAAACACAATGGGAAATGCTTTATATAATGATGCATGCAGGGATCTCCAATGATAATCCACTGTTAAGCGGGGCAGCAACATGTGGGACGATGTGTATAAAATGTGTAAAAGAGAGGGATTATTTATGCTGCTTGAATAGGCATAAACTAGTTCTGGAGCCACATGTGGTAGTCTGTACCTGTAAATCTCAGCAACTCTGGAGGCTGAGGCAGGATTGCAAGTTGGAGGTCAGCCAGGGCAACTTAGTGAGAGCTTTTCTCAAAATACAATAAAAAGGGCATGCACTTCGGAGGCCAGATAAGTCTGGCTGAAGATTCCTTAAATGGTGTGTCCTGCAGTGTCCTGTTAGTAGGTTCTATACCAGGCTCCGCATGTTATTGGTGTAGGGTCCATATTTTAATACTGTTCCTAACATTTCATTTAATAGCAARATGTCTTTGACTTGATTTTATTCTTTGTAATTCTAGAAACGAGATTGTAGTTTAGCCATTACTGGTATTTTTAAAAAAGGGATATGATTTCTTGCACAGCGGTTCAAAAGAGAAACAAGCTTCGTTCTCAATGCTGACCTTTCTTTTTCAGGTACAAGTTTTCTAGCTCAGACAACTGAGAAAAACTATAGACCATTCTTGAGGCATTGGTTACATGCCATTTTTCTACATTGCAGGCAGATTGGGCTGTGATGGGTGGTGTGCAGGCAGATACAGGATCTGACAGCCAGGGATGTTCTGTACTAAAAGGATACTTTGTATCAGAAAGTTTTAGTACAGAAAATAAAGGTCAATTTCAGGAAAAATAATTAAAAATAAAAAGGGCCAAGGAGGTAGCTGGCAATAGAGTAGCCCTGAGTTCAATCACTAATATCACACACACACACACACACACACACACACACACACACATACAAAACACCAAACCAAACCAAAACACACCAAACAAAAACATCAAAAAATTAGCTATGGAAAAAACAGGAATAACATTGTTTGCCATTAAGAAGGAAAAGTGGTTGGCTGAGAAAGAAGATGACTTATTTTTCTACCAATTTCTTTTTTACTCCCTATTTATTTGTACCAGGGATTGGACCCAGGGATACTTAACCACTGAGCCACATCCCCTGCCCCACCCTTTATATTTATTTGGTTGGGGTTTTTTGTTTATTTTGAGAAAGGGTCTTGCTAAATTGCTTAAGGCCTCCTTAAGTTGCTGAGGATGACCACGAACTTGCGTCTTCCTGCCTCAGGGAGTTGCTGGGATAACAGGTGTGCACCACCATACCCGAGCTCTTTTTCATTTTTTGAGTGTCAAACCTGGGGAATGTAGTGGCCATTTAATTTAAACAATATTTACATTTAAAAATGAAAAGAAGGATAATGGAAGGCACATGATTTGCCAAGGTCAAGCAGCATGGGGTTGGCAGGGGCCAGAACCCAGCAATCTTCCCTATGCCCACCCACCACCTTGCTTCTGACCCAAACTCTCTTCCCCTTTCCTTATCCTCCTCCATCCTTGGTGGTTTAAACTCCCAAATCTGTTCCAGAGAGTGGGCTAGAAATGGAGGGAATTCCACCTGGGAAGTATTGGTACACAATGGCTGGGAGCTGCCCAGCCACAGATGGGGGCAAAAGCAGTCTCAGGAGGCATCAGGGTCTCAAGCTCAGGGATAGACCCGGGTCACTGCCTCTGTTGCTCACCTAGCCCTTGGGTCACTGCTGACCTCCCTCAAGTGCCAGCACAATTTTGAGAGTATCAGGGATCAACCAAATGCCAGGACCCAGCTGCTCTCTTAGAATAAAATGCCCGATCTCTGCCCACCCCTCACACTTCCAATCTTCAACTGTTTCTTCACTTACCTTTCGTTGGGATCTTTTAGCTTCAGTCTGCTCATCTGCTGGTCTCAGACTCACTCCACCTGGACAAGTAGGAAAGATTTCAGTGAGTTGTGAGGTCTAGAGGGAGCCCGGGCCCTGGTGTGGTAGGGTAAAGGAAGGCTTGGGAGAAGGCAAGGGGGTGGGCTGGCCAGAGTCCAGTTCTGAAGCTGTTCTAGGCAGGGGCAGAGTCTCTTCCTCTGGCTTGGGAATAGTCCTTACAGAGTCAGGATGAGCCTGGGACCAGTGGCCAGGGAGCTTCAATGTCACAGGAGTGAAGCAGCGGTAGGAGGGGTCTAAGAATCAGCACTGTCATCTCTCTGATCTTGGGACAGAGCTGAGGATCAGGGGAGGGTTATAAGCAGAATCTGCCAGATAGATTCCTGCTGGGAGAGACCTCTGGGGAGGATTCCTGAGCCCTGAATCCTGTTTGCCTCTACCACCAAAGTCCCATGGCAGTTGCTTCCTGGACTTGCTTACAGCTGGCTCAATTCTGCCACTGTTACCCTCTTTCTCACCCCCACAGAGCCAGAATGGGGGTGCAGCAGGTCTCTGAACTGCAGGCCACAGCTCCCCAACATTTTCTCCTAAGTACTCCTCCTTTTTCAGCCTCCTAAGGAGGCAGAAGTAAAACACAGGATGGTGAGGCCCGGGAAGGAAGAGAACCCTGCCTCCTAGCTCCCAGCAACAAGGGTCCTAAAAAGGGGAATGAAGGTGTTCAGAGGAAGTGAGGCAATACCCTGGGGATAGGTGTGCTCCCACCTTTCTGGATGTATCTCTTTCCTGAATAGGTCTCTCCTCTCTGCCCCTATCAGGAAACCTCATCTGGACTATTAGAAATGCAGCTTCTCCCAGGTGAGGGGTGCTGGGGATTGAACCCAGGGCCTCAGGAATGCTAGACAAGGGCTCTACTACTGAGCTACATGCTCAGCCTGTCTCAGGTGATCTTGTTTCTGAGCTTCCAGACCCTCCAATCCCACTCACCTGGTCTCTCTTATGAACCCCAAGACTCAAAAGACCTGGGGGAGGGGAGAGGATTGGGGCTAGAGGAAGCTGCAGAAAGCTTCTGGGAATTTTTCTTCAACTTCTATGCTACCTCAGTTTCCCAGCCTGTTTCCCCCTGCTCCAACCCATGCTAGAGGGAGACTGAGTGAGCAGCCTGCACACCAACAAGGAGTTGAAGACCACAAGAACCTCCAACTTTCCCCAACCTACCCTCACCCAACTCCAGTGTCCACTTGGTCCTCCAAAATTCTGAGCACTCTCACAGGGACCTACCTGTCCTTACAGAGGTGCCCACTGTTCAACCTGCTGGCCTGAGGTCCGCGCTGCCTCTGAACCTGGGACCAAGACTCAGAAAGCAGACTACTATCGGGTGCGGCCAGTTTGAATGCCTTCTAGTCCGGGGCTCTGTCTGCGTCCGTCACCAAGTTGCTGCGCCCCCAGGACGGCGGGGCTCAGGCCAAACCCGCATCACCGACGCGGCGGTGATGAGAGCCCTGGGCCCGGCTCCGATCGCCCTTCGGGGCTCAGTCGGATCCTCTGCGATCCTCCCGCCTGAAGGCCGGGTAGCGTGCTGCGGCCGCTGCAGCCTCGGCGCCGGTGCCGCCCCACTCCTCCAGCCCTGCACCAGCCGCCGCTTCCTTCGGGACAGCGCGGGGCGCTCGGCCGGGCTCGCGGGCGCAGCCGGCACGCAGCGGCCCCTGGCGGCTCAGGACAGGAGGAGGGAGGGTAGAACCACTGGCCCCTACGGATTCTGATGCTGGCCAGATTGGTAACCCCGGGGAGGTCCTCCAAAAACCTGCAGGTCTCCCGACGCCTAGTCCTGTGGCTCAGGGGAAGGAGGTGATGCTCGCAGGTGAAGGGCGGCGGCGGGGTGGGGGTGGCGGTGGGTCGCTGGAAGTGAGGAGTCATTGCCCGGACCTGCAGGGTGTCTGGAACTTTGAAGATTCCAGAACTGCATCGTCCAGTTGGGTAGTCGCTAGCCGCATATTAGTTAAATTTAAATCTAAAACTCATTAAAACTTTACTTAGCACTCAAATGCTATTTAAAGTGTCCAGTAGCCACAAGAAACTAGGGACAAGTGTGTTGGGCAGAGCAGATATAGAACGTTCCCATGGTTGCACAAAGTTGTTCCCTGTCCTCCTCCTACTAGGGCTTGATCAGGGGGACCTCTACTAGAGTTACATCCCTGATCCTTTTTATTTTGAAAAGAGGTCTTTTTCTGAGGGGGATATATATGTGTCTATATATGTATATGTGTGTATATGTATATATGTGTGTATATATGTATATGTATGTATGTGTGTATATATATATTTAATTTGTTTTTAGATATACATGACAGTAGGGTGGGTGTATAGATGAGGGCTGGCCTCAATATTCACCATTAAACCCAGCTACAAAGTTCTTTTCAGCAGTCCTCTCCAAGATCGATATCTGGAAGGCAATATTTCTACCCCAGAAATGGTATCCTTAGTGACAGGCAGGAGAGCTATAATAGGCTGGTGAATGGTCCCTATGGATGATGGGTGTGMGTCTCAACTTGGGAACCAAATTCTGGGACCCAGTGTCTGCATCATAAAAAACTGTAATATAATTTCCACTGTCGATTTATTTATTTATTTAGGTACTGGAGATTGGACCTTGGGGTGCTTTACCACTGAGATACATCCCCAGTCCTTTTAAAATTTGTTATTTTGAGACAGGGTCTCACTAAGTTGCTTAGGGCCTTGTTAAATAGCTGGGGCTGGCCTCCAACTTGCCATTCTCCTTCCAAGCCACTGGGATTACAGGCAYGCACCACTATGCCTGGCAATTGTATAATTCTTTGTAAGGTTATATTTTGTATGTGAAAAGTACTAGGAAAATAAAGGGCAAAGGGGTTCTGTGAGTTTTTCTCTTCATATGAAGGACATACCTCTTACTGTAACAGGGCTCTGGGGTTGGGGTAATGTGGAGGGAAAAGGCAAGGAGGAAGAAATGGTAAGCAAAGTATCCCTGAAACATCAAATAATAAAAATAATAGGCCCTGAACCCCTCCATGTGGACTGTGAACCCCTGCATGTGGAGAGCCTTGAGGCTCTCCAGTCCCCCTTCATGGCTAGACATTATCCGTCTGAACTGAGAAAAACATCCCACAGATTTGCTTCTTCCCAGCCTGCTACCTTTCTCCTCTCACCTTCTGCCACCTTGGGATGGGTAGGGGTAATGACCGCCTTACCAGGTCTGGGGCAGTGTGAGGATGGAGGAGGTGTGATGGTGTCAGGAATGGGTGGGTGGCTCTGGGAAATGAAAGTCTTAGGGTCTGGGTGGGGGCTGGGGAGCTGTTCAACAGCCCACAGACGCTGCCAACTTCCCTGGGGATCATCTGGTACGGAAGCAAGGGGTCTCCAGGCCCTAGCTCTGTGGCCTATTTTTGCAGCCACGCCATAGATGCTGGGAAGAGCAGGGAATAAGGAGCTGTGTGACAGTRAGAAGTGATAAGTAAACTGTCCCAGAAACACTGAATAATAAAAATAGCCAGGAGTCATATTTTTCTTCAGTCTTTGACCTGGCAGTGATGTTATGTCATCTATCAGAGAGCTGGTTCCCGTTTTTCTCAAACAGGAGGGGAACACCCATAGCAAGCAGCAGCGTATTCTTTGTCCCTGTCTTTGCTGCTCTGTGGGGTCTGATGTTTTCTCCCTCTTGTGACTTCATTTGATCTGGCTTTCTGCCCAAATCTTGGGCATAATTACAGCAAATCCATACACCTGAGTGACCACTGTAGGCCAGGAAGGCCACCCCTTCTGGGAGCACAGTTTAGCCTGGGGGACAGAGTATGGTATTGTCAGGAAGCACTCAGTTGTCAGAGCCCAGAGGTAGGGTCCCTATAATGAACCTGATTCCAATGGCCGGTGAAGGCTAGCCCAACTTGCATTAGGGCACAGAGACCTTGACCTCATTTGAACTGTGTGTTGGGTGGGTGTACCTGGGACCTAAAATGATCTATTCCCTGACACCGTGTTTAGGAATAGAGCTCTTCCCAGGTCAGGTCAGTACCACCTTCCCCCAGGAGGCAGAAAGCAGAAAGAATAAGCATCCCACCTGGTACTTGGTCTAGTTTCAGTCCTGGAGCAAGTGGGCTTTTAATCCGCCCAGGCAGGAGTTTAACCTGGCCTCTGTCTCCCCCTGGCKGCAGAGAACTTGCCCAGCATTCCAGGACTCCCCAGCCTCTGCGCAAAGAGAAAGGCAGAGGAGGAACCCCATCCCTCTCACTGTCATCTTCTTCCTAACTCTCCCTCCCTGATTCAGAGAAATCAACTTGATTCTCAAGTCAGAACCGGATTTTGGTATCAGGAGACTGACGTGGTTACGAATCTCTCAATGGCCGTATGATCTCTTGGGGCACGTCATATTAAATGACAGGTGCATCCAGTCCCGTCTCATTTGTAAAATGGGCGTGATAAAGAGGTGTATAGAATGTGCTTTGTCAAAGGCCCACTGCCCAGTAGGTCTTCTATAAATGGTATTTATTTATTTCATTACGTTATTATCCTTATTAACTGATGAGAAGTCCAAATCTGGGTGTACGGGAAGGTTCTGAGAAAGTAAGTAGGGTATGAGTGACAACCGCTCTCCCACACGTGGTAGTGGCCTCAGAGTTAACAGTACCGTCAAGAGCCCAGGAATTTACCGAGGCTCTCAGATCCAAGGTGATGGGCTGTGACCTGCAGGGTTATTACCAGGGCCTTCACTCTGCACCAGCTCGCTGCTCTCGCTCACTCCAGCAGCTCCAGAGGTGTTGTCACACCAGCTGTTTCACACCCAGGGGCCCGAAGCGGCTGTTTCGCTCTGAGGTCATCAGCTTCGTTGCCCTGAAGGCAGCCTGGCCACCCTGAACCAGGAGCGGGGAGACCGCCTCCCCCACCCTCGTCACAATAGGGACGGTCTAGTTGATGTCTCTCCTACAGCACGACTGAAGTAAAAATTTCCTTCTCTCAGACCTTTCCCACAACAAACCCTTCTCCCTCGGAGAAACTGCAGCAGGACGAAGTCGGAATGAGGTGGAGGAGAGACCGGGAGCCCGTGGGGCGGTTCCCGGGGTGGCCTAGAGCTAGGGGAAGTTCTGCCCCGCACCGCCCCAACCCGGCGGGGAGCCAATGGCCTCAAAGGACCAACAGGGGTAAGCACCGCCCACGCCGAGCCCTAGGGGCAGGGCCTGAGCGGGGCGGGGCCAGGCCGAGGGCGGGGCAGGGAAGCAGCATGCTAAACCGGGTGCGCTCGGCGGTGGCGCACCTGGTGAGCTCCGGGGGTGCTTCACCTCCGCGCCCCAAATCCCCAGACCTGCCCAGCACGACCTCGGCGCCACCGGCCGCCGCTCCAGAGACGCCCAAGAGCCCTCCAGCGAGGCCAGGGAGCGAGAGCGGGGCGTCCGCGAAGACCGTAGAGACTCGCGCAAGCTTCTCCAGACCGACCTTTCTGCAGCTGAGTCCCGGGGGGCTGCGACGCGCCGACGACCACGCGGGCCGGGCTGTGCAAAGCCCTCCGGACAGGGGCCGCCGCCTGCCCTGGAGCACTGGCTACGCCGAGTGAGCGCCCCCCCGGGGCACCCAGACCTGGACGGGACTACCACCTCTCCCCAACTCTGCATCCCCGCTCCAGGGATGCGCCCCCCGTGCGGCGCTCGGAGCCAGGAACCCCCCTTTCCCGGGACCTTTGCTATCCTCTGGGCTTCGGGCATCACCCCCTCCGGGCCCTCTCTCCAGTCGGGTGCAGCCTGAATCACCTTTCTCGGGACCTTGTAACTCGTTGATCACCCTCACTCTCTCGCCTCAAAACCCCCGTTGTCTCCCAGAGCTGGGGGGGTGGGGGGCTCTGCCAAGGATGAGTTGGCCAGTTCCTAATCGCGCCTGGGCAGTTTAGAGGCTAAGGGACTGCGGGGTGGAGGCGGTTGTTCAAAGAGGAGCCGAGTTCCTTCTAACGGGAGATAGCGGTTGGAAAGACTATCAGCAGCTTTCCAGCCCTAGAGCCCCAGTTCCCTGTCCCTCTTACCGTTCCCCTCCCCCTCCACACCCAGAAATAGCCCAACACCAGAAGGCCGCCGGCCTCCCAGGGTGGGGGAGGGGGCAGCCCACGGCCGTGGGAGGGTACCCTTTGGACTGCGTTCTCGGGGTGGACCTACTGGTGCGGCAGATCAAGGAAATAGACCCCTTGATCAGGACGGCGGGCGTGCTCCTAGGCTACCTGTGTTTTTAATGCATCTACCAGAAAACCTAACCCTGAGGGAGATGGGGACACTGAGATSGCTGAGAAAGGTGGCTGGTGGTCCCATGACCCCACCACCCCCTCTTTTAACTTCCTACAAGGGAGAAGTTTGTGGTTAAGTGGCTCCTTCCCAGTCCAGGTGGGCCTATACTCTTACTCTACTTTCAATTCCTCTTTCAGGATCTGGGCTGAAGCACTTCCTCACGGCCAAACAGGCAGAAACTTTTGCTGGGTAGTTTTAGGGTGAGGGTGGGTGTGCCCATGAGTTGTGGGGTGCTGGGGACAAAGTACTGGGAGAACTGATTGAGGTTGGAGGTGGAATGTAGGGTCTTGGCTTGCAGGGAAATAAAGCTTCTTACCCTCATCTTGCCTCCTCCAGCAGAACCCCTGAGGGAGCCTCTTTTGCCAAGTAAGGGGGGATCTGAGGCAGGCAGGTGCTACTGTCTACCTTTCTATGAAGTAGGGCCTGCCACCCGACAGTACTCCTCCTCAGCTCTCCCGGCTCCTTTTCTCTCTGGCCTGGATCCCAGGTGGCTGTGACCTTTCTCAGCTTGGCCAGCGGACAGGGGAGGATGTGTATGTGTCTAAGGTGGGGGTTATTCCAGGACCTGGTCTGGTGTCCAACCTGATGTGGTCACTCTGGCCTGGCAGGGTCATCAACGCTGGCAAGAGCCGGCACAATGAGGACCAGGCTTGCTGTGAAGTGGTGTATGTGGAAGGACGGAGGAGTGTTACAGGGGCCCCCAGGGAGCCTAGCCAAAGCCAGGTAAGACCTCACCCCCTCTCCTAGCCTCCGGAGACATAGACACTCATCCTGAGGGATGTCAGGCATCTGGTTTTATATCGGAGACGTGGAAGAACTGTCTCCTAACACACTGGCTTTCTGTGTTTGCCACAGAACCCTTATGTGGCATTGATTCCTGCCATGTCAGATGAATGTTTACTTTTCTACTTCAAATGTAGATGTTTGTGTAATTAAATTATGGATAATTTAATTAACCACTGATGCTGATTTTTGCATCTTTTATCCTCAGAATTTGGCTTTTTTGAGGCTCTCCTTTCTTTTGACACATAGTGTGCCCTGGGTGAATAAGTGAATAAATCTAATTTGCTTGTAATGTCAACCTCTCTGATATTTATTGGATGCCTACAGTCTTGTTCTTCTCCCTATACCATACACACACACACACACACACACACACACATACACACACACACACACAGATTTACTCACCTTCAACTTTTCCTCCACCAGGGACTCTGCTTCTATTATTGGGGCCTGTTTGATGGGCATGCCGGTGGTGGAGCTGCCGAAATGGCCTCACGGCTCCTGCATCGCCACATCCGGGAGCAACTAAAGGACCTAGTAGAAATACTTCAAGACCCCTCACCACCTCCCCTCTGCCTCCCAGGCACCTCAGGGACCCCAGGTTGCTCTGATTCTACTCACTTGAYTGGTCCTCAGTCCTGCTGGTCTTCACAGAAGGAAGTGACCCATGAAAGCCTGGTAGTAGGGGCCATTGAGAATGCCTTCCAGCTCATGGTGAGTGGGTGGCCTGGGCCAAAGGCTGACTAGGCAGACACTCTGGCCAACTCTGTGTGAGAGCCGGGTGGCCTCAGGGACTGACCCTGAGAACACCACTGAGAGCCAGAGCAGAGTTTGGTTCTGAGGGGAGGCAGGAGGGATAGTTACCCCCATGTGTTTCACTATTTTCCAGTTGTGGTCTGGCTGTGCCTGATGATTTCTGCAGATAGGAGTGGGGAGGGCGACTCGGTGTCTGCAAACTCTTCTTTTACTCTCCTCCCTCACTTGGCAGGATGAGCAGATGGCTAGAGAGCGGGAGCGTCGTGGCCACCAAGTGGAGGGGGGCTGCTGTGCACTGGTTGTGGTGTACCTGCTAGGCAAGGTGTATGTGGCCAATGCAGGTGACAGCAGGTATGGAGGAGAAGGGCTTTAAAAGTGGCTACAAGGGGCCATACTCTCTAGGATGGGGGGATAGAAGAGTGAGGTGGTGGGGTTCGAAGTCAAATATTGGACTAGGCATGGTGGCACATGCCTGTAATCCCAGAAACTCARGAGGCTGAGGCAGGAGGATCACAAGCTCAAGATCAACCTCAGAAATTTAGTGAGACCCTATAATAAATTGGGTCTCAAAATAAAATCAAAACAGCTGGGGATATAGCTCAGTGGTAAAGCTGCCCTGGGTTCAATCCCCAGTACTGTAAAAAAATAAAATTAAATTTAAAGAAACCCCAAAGATTGAAGGAGCTTGGAGGACCATAGATATAAAGAAAGGCCTGATATATCCACAAGGAGAGGAAAGATGGAGTCCTGGGTAAGGAATCCTAAGCAGAAGGCCTGGTCCCTCTGGAATTATCCATGAAGGGGGCTGAGGAGAGCCAGGCCTTTTCTGTCTCTGGGCARGGCCATCATTGTCCRGAATGGTGAAATCATTCCAATGTTCCCGGAGTTTACCCCGGAGACCGAGCGCCAGCATCTTCAGCTGCTTGTAAGTAGAAACCAAACTTCCTACCCACATCGTTTACTGGCTCTTGTGCCTCTCTGCACTCTTGTCCCTGAGAACATCCCCCCAACCCTACCCTCTCTCTGTCTCTGTCTCTCTCTCTCTCTCACACACACACACACACCACCACCACCACCACCACCATACCACCAAACACAGAACAATCCCTACTGGGAGCTTCTTGGGAAGCTGTGTGGGCTCTTGAATGCAGGGCTGAGCCCAGGGGATAATGCTAAAGGAAGGAGCCTGAGATGGTTTGCAGCACCCACTGTGGCCCCAGCTGAGGAAGGAAGTAAAATCAGAGGTGAGGGGAGGGAACAGAAAAGGCCCCTGGGCTCTGGAACTGGACTGCCTGGATACTGAATCCTGRTTTGTTGTTCTCTGCTAATTATGTGACCTTTGACAATTCCTTAACCTCTCTGTGCAGTAATGGTTCCTGCCCCATGGGTTGTTTTGAAGAGTTAACTGAGTTAATGTGTGTATCAGAATAGTGTGTAGCATGTGGACCTTTACTTAAAGGTCTGCTATAATAAATATCATCTAGCCAGATACAGCGTGGCACACCTGTAATTCCTGCAACTTGGGAGCCCGAGGCAGGAGGAGCATAAGTTCAATGACAGCCTCAAAAAATKAGCAAGACCCTGTCTCAGAATAAAAATTAAAAAGGGCTGGGGATGTAGCTCAGTGGTAAAGCACCCCTGGGTTTAATCCCCAATACTGCAAAAGAAGAAACAAAAATTAACATCATCTAGGTATGGTGCCAGGGTACGCTGTGAGTGTAACACCCTCTGGCCCTTTGCTCTGACTGGCCATTCTCAACCCCAGGGCTTCCTGAAACCAGAGCTGCTGGGTGGTGAATTCACCCACCTTGAGTTCCCCCGCAGAGTTCAGCCCAAGGAGCTGGGGCAGAGGATGCTGTACCGGGACCAGAACATGACTGGCTGGTAACACTTCCCTCAGAGCTGGGTCGTTCCCATGGCAACCCAACCAGTCCCTCACCAGTAGCCAGGGGGAAGCTGAAGGCTGGGCCAGGCTGGGAGTTGGGGGATGGGGCCCTTCTAAGGGGTTTGTGTGCGGGTGTCCAGCTCCTAGAAGAGAGGGGCTTTGATGCCTAGGTGATGCCTCTACTCCCCCCCTCCCCAGGGCCTACAAAAAGATCGAGCTGGAGGACCTCAGGTTTCCTCTGGTCTGTGGGGAGGGCAAAAAGGTAAACTCCCCGGTAGAGGTGGGAGAGGGCAGGAGGACCCACCACAATTTGTCTAGGGAGGTGGAGGTTCTACCTGAGGGTAGGGGTGGGAGGGCTGTGTGGTTTCAGAGAGCCTGGCAGAGGACTAAACAGCCGTCCCCCTCCATGTTTCCCTCAGGCCCGCGTGATGGCCACTATTGGGGTAACCCGGGGATTGGGAGACCACAACCTTAAGGTCTGCAGTTCCACCCTGCCCATCAAGCCTTTCCTCTCCTGCTTCCCTGAGGTGAGCTGATGGGGCCCCCCTTAACTATACCTTCCCTCCTCTGTGGGTCTCAAGCTGGCTTTCATCCAGGGTCCCTTTATCCCCACGCTCCCTGTCCAGCAAACCCCACACCTCAATCCTCCCTATACTCTTTCCCCACCAGGTTCGAGTGTATGACCTGACACAGTATGAGCACTGCCCAGACGATGTGCTAGTCCTGGGAACAGATGGCCTGTGGGATGTCACCAATGACTGTGAGGTAGCTGCCACTGTGGACAGGGTCCTGTCGGCCTATGAACCCAATGACCMMAGCAGGTAGGGGTTGCATGGCATGATGGTAAGGGGATGGCACTGGCGAGGGAAAGGGCAAAGGGAAGCCATGCTTGGGGACCCACATGTGGGCCTCTGTGTCTATCTTCCCATATACATGAATGTGCACCTGTGCTCCTGGCAGGTATACAGCTCTGGCCCAAGCTCTGGTCCTGGGGGCCCGGGGTACCCCCCGGGACCGTGGCTGGCGTCTCCCTAACAACAAGCTGGGTTCCGGGGATGACATCTCTGTCTTCGTCATCCCCCTAGGAGGGCCGGGCAGTTACTCCTGAGGGGCTCAGCCCATCCCTCCCACCACCATCCAGCCTCTCCATGCTTACCCCTCTCTCAGCCCAAATTCTGCAGTTGTCTCCCTGACCCTTTAGTGGCAGTTTAACCCAAAAAGGGATATCCACTAGACCCAGAATTACAGCTCTTGGCAAATAAACCCAGTGGATAAAGGTGTGTGTCTTTACTTGCTTTGATTAGAAACTAAAAGTTAAGGAAAAGTTCTGTGCGGTGGTAGAAAGGACATCAGGACAGTCCAAAAATGATTTTTTTTCCCCAGGTTCTTCTTTCTGCCCTCTCCTCTCCTCAGTCCACTCACTTGCCCTGAGTGTTCTCAGACACTTCTGAAGCTTCATCCATCTGCTGATGTTTCTTCCAAGTTGGTGTCTCTTCCCAGATCTTTCCTGAGCTTTAGATTCATACATACCCGTCATCTCCCAAACATTTCCATGAAAGCCCACTGGCACTTCACCTCAACACACCTCAATCCACTATTTTCCCCATAGCATGTTTCTTCTCCTACTTCGTCTTCTCAAAGGGCATCAGCTTGGCTGCTCAAATTAGAAACCTTGGAGTTGGTAACCCTTTAATTTCCTCTTCATCATGCTAATCAATCACTAAGTACCATCATGTGCTATATGATGACAATGAGCTGCATTTATGATGGTACACACCATATAACCTTGGTGTGTAGTAGGCTATGCCTTCTCAGTTTGATGATGTTTACACAACAATAAAATTGCCTAATGATGCATTTCTTATATCCCCATCACTAAATGATGCATGACTTTATTGTTGAATATATACATTTATGTATCCGTGTGTGTGTGTGTGTGTGTGTGTGTGTGTACCTTTTCCCACTTATCTTCACTCCCACTGTTACCTCCTTAGTTATTCATTATATTTGTTTCCTAACTCCAGCAGCTTCTTGCTGCATCTGAGCAAAATTCACGGTCAACTCCTGACCATGGCATATAGGACCTTCACGGTCTGTCTCCTGTTTCCTTCTCCAGCCTCATCTTCCATYACCATCACTGTCTTCTGGGGAGTTCCCATGACTCGGTGGGCCTGTAGTAGCTTCAACTTGTTATTTAAAATATACACATGAACCTAATTTGAATACTTCTTCTGTTCTTCAGGGCTGGGCATCCCACAGCTAATGTATTCTCTCCATCCCCCAACAGCAAATGCCTCCTGTATGTCCACCTGYAAGAGTTGTCCATAGGGAAATGGCAATTAAGAGCAAGGTCTCTAGAGTCCATTGGTTTGAATTCTAGGACCAGACCCAACACCAACTCTGCAATCTCTGAGCCCCCATTTGTTTTCTCAGTAAAATGGAGATAACACTATTAGGCCATCAGGTTATTGTGAGGACTGAAATGGTTAATGAGTCAGGTTCCATAAGCCTTAGATATCTTGAGATTGTCTGTATTCCTCATTTAGACTGTAAATTATTTGAAGGCATAAATCAGTCTTCAGCACATAGCTCTCACTTCACACTGAGTGAACTATTGAGTGGATTAAGAGGCCTGGGGACCAAACTGCTCTTGAACTCAGTTTGCTCATTTACCAAATGTGTTGGCTGTACTTAGATCTTTAAAGTCTGTAAGACTTCTAACATGCATCCATTCGGCAAATATTTCTTGAAAACCGATCATGTCCCACACACTGTGCTAGACGAGGGGAGGGGAAGACTGGAGGAGCACGGTAGTCATCAGAAGACAGCACCAGCATTGGAGTCACACAGGCCTGACTGTATGAATTCTTGCTGTCAGAAATCTCAAACATTTGCTAAGCTGTGTCTTCAAATCTCAGTTTCCTTACAGGCAAAAGGAGATGGGTATACTTCCCCCAAAGGGATTGTGACAAGTATTTAAAAGGTTGAGTTATGTAGTGCCTAGAATGCAAGTCAATAAAATGTTGATAGATTTCCTCCTTCTTTTGTCCACCTCCTCAGACATTTTTACAAGGAAGATCTACGTGTAGGTAAATACGGTATGTAACACATCAGACGGGGCTAAGTGTCACCAACGGCTCAATAATATAATAGGAGTGGGAACTGTATTCCTGGTKGGGGATCCAGAAGCACTTCCAAGAGTAGTACCCTTGGAGAAGTAGGTAGAAATTGGATTCAGGGAAATTCCAGGCAGTGGAAGGAAGGGAATCCGAGGCAGAACGGTGGTCTGGGTCTGCAGGTCCCAGAAGGTCCTGGAGGGCCTTCAGACTAGGGATGAAGTCGGGCTGGGCTTGCTCCGCAAGGATCCTAGTGGCAGAGAGTGGTCTTCTGCACGCACCACGTCCCACTCCCTGGCCCGAGCGGGCGCCCGGGTTTCCCAGTCCGGCCTCCCGCGAGCGCCCAGGTGGGGCAGGAGCGGGTGCGGCTTGGCCGCGGGAGGGCAGCAGTGGCCCTTTCTGACGCCACCCCGAGCGCCTCTCAACTTTCTCGACGCCGATCTGCGCCTAGGGGCTGGAAGGCGGGGCGGAGGCCGAGTCCTCCGGGGTCCCACCCGCTCCGGTCACCGCCCACTCCTCGGCCGACCGGGCAGCTCCGGCGACCCTCCTTCCAGCCTCGCCCCCAGCCCGGGGCAGGCGCCCCCAAGCCTCGCGCCGCAGCGGAGGCGACCTGTGGCCGCCGGGGGCTGGGGCCGGAGGCGGGCCGAGCCAAGGGCCGCCCCCGGGCCGACCCTCCCCCTGCCGGGCCCGCCCTCCCCGCCGCGGCGCTGAAGGAGGGCGGGGCGGGGCCGGCCCCTCGGGTCAGTCTCAGCCTCCGGCACCGGCCGCGCAGCTGGAGGCGGCGGAGCGGAAGGTACGGGGGTCCSGGCCGGGGGAGAAGGGCATCCCGGGAACGAGTTCCCGGGAGAACACTTTCCTGCTCTCCACTCGCCGGGAGCTCGGGCGGGGCCGGCGAGGGGGCTGGGGCCGGAGTGCGGGCCGCGGTCCCTCGGCTGGGACGCGGCGTCCGGGCTGCGCTGGGGTCCGGCCTGCTCGGCTCCTCCCCGGACTGCAGCCAGGGGCCCCCGGAGCGGCCTGGCCGGGGCTCTCTCCTGCCGAGGTCCTGATCCGAGCCCTCACCCTTCCCTCCCGGCTTCCCCGAGCCTCCCCCGCGGAACAAGGGGGCGGCCTTGATCTCCCTTCTCCAGGGAACCCAGCCCGGACGCCCTGGCTAGCCCCAGGCTGGACGGCCCAGCGCGGACCTGGCCTGSGGTGCTGGGGATGGGCTGGGAGTTCTCCCGGGCCCGGACGGTGGAATGGCGGGAACAAGGGCGCGGTGTGACCCTTGGGGGCTGCCACTGCTCGGCGGAGGTTGGACGCCGCCCTCGACAGTCCTTGGAACCTGCCTGGGGCAAGGGGTAGGGGAGACCGGGAAGGATCCAGCCCGTGTGTGTGAGTGTGTGAAGGAATCCACCCTCCATACTCCCCAGCCAGGCTCAAGATTTATCTTAGGGGTGTCGGCTGGGGAGCCCGGGGCACAGAGTTCTCTCAGTTCTGGCTTTAAAGTTGAGGAAGAGGTGTCAMCTGAAGAGTGAGTCTTTCCCAAACTTCAGGGGAAGTGAGCCGGGTAGGAGGCCACTGGATCTTCGGGGAAAATCAAGAGAATGAGCGAGGAGAGAGGGCTACGTATCCACATATCTTGTCTCGGGGGAGGCGCCAGAAGTTCCAGGCTCTGTTCCAGCTCCACTTCAGTCTCTGCGTGGGGTTGGGTTGCCCCTTTTAGGGTCAGTGGGGCAGTTCCTCTGGGGCTGCCTCTCACAGGGAGCTGTTGTCCGTGCCATCTTGGCCTTGGGCCTTGTGCCCTGGCCTGGCCTGGGCTGCTTACTCTTCTGGCCCAACCAGAGCCTGGAGGGAAAGTCTTCTGAGCTGGGGGTTCCAGTTCACTTAATTCATGTCCTTGTCCTGAAGTTCTGGCCTCTGCCTCCCACCATGTGGTGCCAGTTGCCTTGCTGGGGGATGGCAGTGGCGCACTCTTGCCTAAGTGACTGGTAGATCGGTAGTGATTGCTCTCTATCCGCACTGCCCCGGGGTTGGAGTTACCGCAGCCCCTGTTTACACAGCTGAATGAGTTGAACTAATGGGAGTAGGTGGGGGAGTTGGAAGAAATCCTAGTGTCAGTCACCTGGGTAGACTTCAAGGAACCCCTGTTTGGAAGGGATGTGTTGGCAGGGCACATCTTCCCTGTCATTTGGGGTATCAGGAAGAGCCCCTTTGTGATCTGGAGAGTGGCTCCTATAAATTCTCAGTGACTCATGTCCTCTTCCCCCACATCCCAGTTTTCTGAATGTGTAAGTGAGGAGAGGGAGGGGCCGCCTAGCATCCCACTGTTGAAGAGAAACAGCCTGGGGCTGGAGTCTTCTGCTTCCTAAAAAGCAGACCCAGGCTATAGAGTGAGGTGGTGGAATGCAGGGACTAGARGAGCTCAGCCCAGCATGACAGGATGTGGGACTGAGAAAAAACTAGGTTTGAGGCGGAGATCAGGTTACCTTCCATACCCTGTGCTCCCTGCCTAGTTGGTGCAGGGACTGGTCCTCATTTGTCATTTGTTTTGGGGCTCCTCCCAGCCCAGGCTCTAGCTCCCTCCCTCTTCCCAACAGCCTAGATTTCATTTCAGCTCCAGAGCCCACCCTCTCTTTCTCCCTGACTGCAGGCCTGGGAATCTAGCTGGGTGGAGTTTGGCTCCCCTCCCTGGGGAAGGAGGAAGTGAGGGAAGCTGTGAAGGTGTGATGAACTGCAGGTGTGATGAACTGCTCGTTCATGTGTGTTGGTGACTTGAGGGACACATGCTAACCCTGGGAAGCTGACTCCTTGCCCTGAGTCACAGGGAGGGGTGGGCAGGGCATAAAAGTGAGCTGGACCGAGCGAGGAAGGGGCTGTTCCAGAGTGGGTGGAGGTGATTCCCTAGTGGATTATTCTGTCCCTCTGCTGTGGTGGATGCGTGACTCCCTACAGTGTAGTCATTGTCCCCTACTGGGGGCTGAGTAACCTAGTGTTGCCACCAGGCCCAGGAGGAAGGGGGGAGGAAGGCAGGCTGCCCGAATGTGAGCTGTGGGCACTGCCTGGACTGAGCCTCCTTTGTGTGACCCGGGGTTTGGGGACAGGGTGGGGTGGGTCAGAGAAGCTGCTGGCTGCTGCCACTGTCCTCTGTCTGGGTTTTCCTCCTCCTGCTCTCCTTTCCACCTCTGAGGTGACATGTAGAAAGGCAGAGACTCTGGAGACATACAGCCCAGCTTTGAGTGCCGTCCTTGACACTCTTGATTATCTAACCCTCAGTGAGTTTCCTTGTTGGTCAAAATGGGAAGTGCACCATTCACCTAACAAGCCACTGGAACCTGAGGGAAATAATTACCCAACAAAGAGAGGGCACCTGGGGGCTTTATAAATATTCCTTCTCTTACCTATCAGCCACCCAGTAAGTGGTTCTGCTAGTCTCTGGTTTTGTAGAGGGACTCCTTGTTTGTGACTAGGCAGGCGTGACTCCAGCCGAGGGACAATCTGTTCTAGATTACACCTTAGCAATTATTAAACCTTAAATGTATCAAATCTTGTTACAAATGAAATCTGTCTCATGACTCCACTATGCAAAGCAGATAAAAGCTGGCTTTTCTGGAGGCATCCCTGAACACCTTGCTGAGTGTTTCCCCTCCGTTGAGTGGATAACGTTGAAAGTCATGGTTCCCAAGTGGGTTCTTCCACCTCCTGCTATATTTTAACCCATTGGAGAAGACCTGTCCCTGCCCCAGAAATTAGGAATCTTAAACTCTGTTTCCTACAGGATTTGGTGCTTGGCAAGAATGTGCCGAAGCAAGCCCCCTTTTCTGTTTTCTCTTCCTTTGCCCAGGTTTGTGGGGAGGTTCTGGAGGCCACAGAGCAGTTTTTGGACTACTAGTTTTTTTTTTCCAAATCCCTACTGCCTCTTGTTTGCCAGCCCCAGCCATGGCTGCAATCAGAAAGAAGCTGGTGATTGTGGGGGATGGTGCCTGTGGAAAGACCTGCCTCCTCATYGTCTTCAGCAAGGATCAGTTTCCAGAGGTCTACGTCCCTACTGTCTTTGAGAACTATATTGCAGACATTGAGGTGGACGGCAAGCAGGTAAGGCCAAGAGCCCTTTCCTATCCTGCCTTGGAACCCTGCCCCTAGTCATGCATAGTGTGTCCTTCCTTACCACCCACTCACATCTTTGTTTTATTTTCCTGTGGGAACAAGTAAAATTTGAGAAATGAAACTGCACTTTTAGAAAACCTGGATATAGTCATGTGTGGTGGTACATGCCCATCATGCCAGCTTACTCAGGAGGCTGAAGCAGGAAGATCGAGCACAAGTTTGAGGTCAGTGTGGGCAACTTATCCAGACCCTATCTAAAATAAAAAGGGCTGGAGTGTGGCTTACTGGTAGAGTACTTGCCTAGCATGCATGAGGCTGAGTTAATCCCCAGTACCCCAAAGAAAACCTGGATATGTCCTCTGGTTCTATCACATACTTGCTTTGTAATCAGGGCCAAGTCCCTTTGCTTCTGGGTTTAAACTCCCCACCACCACAAAATGGTGATGGTGGCATGACTTACCCCAAAGGAGTGTGAGAATTAAAGTGGTATTCACGATAGCAATTCATTTGAGATCACAAAAGTCAAACACATTTTAGTGATTTTTGTGGAAGAGGGATTACTAGGGGTTGAACCCAGCAGCACTTTGCCACCGAACTATCTCCCCAGCCCTTTTTATTTTTTTAAACAAATTGAGACAGCGTCTTGTTAAGTTGCCCAGGCTGGCCTTGAACTTGGCGATTCTTCTACCTCAGCCTCCCACATTGCTGGTTTATAGGTATGTACCAGAACACCCAGTTTACATCTTAGAACTTTTAAGAAAAACTCATCTGAGTTTGTTGTGACTGTGATTAACACGGTGCCTGGCACACAGCAGGACCAGTGGTTTGAGAGGATCTCTGGGTAGCAGGTTGGGGCCCTTGGGGTCAGCTACGCATTGCATTGCCTGTTTGTCAGGTGGAGCTGGCTTTGTGGGACACAGCAGGACAGGAAGACTATGATCGTCTGCGGCCTCTCTCCTATCCGGATACAGATGTCATCCTCATGTGCTTCTCCATTGACAGCCCCGACAGCCTGGGTGAGGACTTTGGAGACAGGGGGTGGAGACCCTTTGGAGTCAGCCATCTTCAGAGGCTGTGGGGATGGAGTCTCAAGGGTGGCCCTACTGGCTCTTTTGTTGTGGCATCTCCGGTGCTTGGAAGGGCTTGGGGGGGAATACACTACAAGGGATGGGGTTTTGAGGTATGAAGGAGACATCAGCCTCAGACCACTATGGGAAGGAAGACCAGGGCTTACATGCCTAAGTGGAGGTACCTGTTGGGACATGTCTGTGCAGAAAACATTCCTGAGAAGTGGACCCCAGAGGTGAAGCACTTTTGCCCCAACGTGCCCATCATCCTAGTGGGGAATAAGAAGGACTTGAGGCAAGATGAGCATACCAGGAGAGAGCTGGCCAAGATGAAGCAGGTGGGTAGGGCTGCCTGGTGGGGAACCCTGGGGAGGAAGGTGCCCTCTGAGGGGTTGCAGGCTGGGGCAGAAAGGAGCTCTCTCTTCAGCCGACTATCCTGTGTTAAGCAGTCATAGTGATATCTACCTCCTCCTCTCCCATGTGGGTGCCCTGCTAAGAACCAGAAGGAACCTCAGTATCAAATCAGATGATCATAGAATGAAGTGACTTGTCCAAGGTCACTTGGCATTTTCATTTATTCCAGTTTATTATTCTGTCTTTGGAATTGGGGCTACTAAGATGAATAAGGAAGTCCTTGTCCACGGGGAGACAGCTTATGTTTCACTTGGGGTATGCAGACTGCGCCATCAGTGTACCTGGGGAGGAAGGGCATCATCAATGGCTGAAAAAAGGCTTAGAGGGCAAGGGAGCTGGCTTATTCAGGGTCTTACTAAGCGGCCCACTGACCAGAGGAACAGTTTATTACAGGAAGCTGCCAGGGTATGGAATAGAGACTATCTTGAGAGGRTAATTATATAAGGCAAGGTTTTAAACTGTGGACAGCAAGCAAAGGATGGGTTGGGGGGATGATGGAGAAGGTAGGTCATTTAGGAGGTAGCCGACACACATTCTGGCAAAACATATGTGTACCATAGGGTCTGTGACTAGGTGGGAGAGGAGGGGCTAGTCTGGGGACAACTTTGAATGTAAACATGAGGCTTAGATCCCTGCCTGGGGCAGCCGGGGCCTGGATGCTTTGCGGGCTCAGGGCTGGAGGAGGTATTTGTTATAGTTACTATACTTATGGGTGATGTGGTGAGGTGCACCTAGCCACCAGCTTCCTCTGCCTTATCTTCTGTCTTCTCAGGAACCCGTCCGATCTGAGGAAGGCCGGGATATGGCAAATCGTATCAGTGCCTTTGGCTATCTTGAGTGCTCCGCCAAAACCAAGGAGGGAGTGCGGGAGGTTTTCGAGATGGCCACTCGAGCTGGCCTCCAGGTCCACAAGAATAAGCGCCGGAGGGGCTGTCCCATTCTCTGAGATCCCCACGGCTCCTGATGCCCCTTTCCTTCACCGGGGCTTAGGGATCACCCACCTGCCCTTGAGCTCCACCCTTAGGACTCCATGCTGAAGGCTCCTTTTTCCAGTTCCCTCTTGCCCAGGACTGCATCGTTTCCCTAGCCCCCAGAGTGGTGGCAGGCCTGCCCTCCCTCCCTGTCCTCTGGGAGCTGGGCCTGTGCCCTGCCCTTCTCGAGCAGTCCCTCTCCCTGCTGCCTTGGTCCAGGGGTAGGGCTCTTGCTCCCTTTGGCCCTCCCCAGAGGATGGTCACACACCAGCACTTTATCTACTTCTGGCTCAGAGGAGCATTTCTAGGGTAGGTGGATTGGGGTTTCTCCTTTGGGCAGGGGCCTTGTCTCTGACTGCACTTGGTGGGGGGCATGAATAAAGGCCACAGGTTCCAACACGTGTGTGGCAGCCTCCTGTTTCCTTTGTCTGGTTCCTATCTTGGCTACAAGCCCAGAGTCCCATCTCTCTCTTCATTTCCAAGTTGCTTGCCAGACTGGCCCCCTGTTGGCAAAGGCAGGAAGTGGAAGTGTGGAGTCTTAGAGCAGAGATGAGGTCATGCCTGGCTCAGGCGGGGAGGCGGGTGAGGGGCGTGGTCTCTAGCCTGGACTAAACTTAGAAACCGGTGGGTGGCTTCCCTGCCCACTGAGTTTCCTCCCCTGGACATGGAGGCTGTGAAGAGATGTGGCCCTGGACAGGGTGTGACAGTCTCACCCTCTTGCAGGTCAGCTTGGGGACACAGGAAGCTGGGGCCAAGCTGAGGAGACATGATCAAGAGGCTTTTGCATAGAACAAGATTTTGTTTTCAGAGTTTTTCTTCCTCCCCCTTCCCCCATTGTTAGCAGCTTGATGTGTCATTCTCCCCAGCAGGGGAAGGGGTGGAATGGCTTGGTTGTAAACACCCTCCCCCAGCCTTCCTGTCCCTTAGAGGGGCAGCTCAGCTGGGTTTTGGTTCAGGGCTGGGTGCAGCGAGCTAAGGCTTGGCTTGGTGTGAGAAGGCAGGCAGCTGTGTCTTCAGAGCTCATTCCTCCACTCGGGCTCCACTTGCAGGGACAGGCCCCCTTCACTCTCCCGCTCCTGGGGGAGGTAGTCGTGACCATGGGGCCCTAGAAAGAAAGGAGGTATGCTTTGTCTTCTTTACCTTCTCTTCCACCACTGTCCCCTGCCTGGCCCACCCTGGCCCAGCCATACCTGAGGTAGAGGGGCTGAGCTTGCTCAGATCTTGAAGTAAGTTCTGTCCATTCTGTAGGTCCAGTTTGGCAGGAAAGGGACACCCTGTATACCCTCCGTTTTCTTTACAGAACTCCAGGAATCTGTGGGGTACAGAGGTGTTTGCACACAGAGCTGTGCAGGCCTGGATGAGGAGTACCAGCGCAGGCTGGAGGCCAGGCCTGGGTCCTGCCACATCTGAGCTTTGGTTGCTCAAGCTCTAAATGTCAGCTCACTTACAAATAAGCTGGAGGTTTTATGAAGATTAACTGATCCTGAGGATTGAGCCATAAGCAGGTACTAATGAAGATACACCTGCCTAAGCTGGGGCTTGTGGCCACCAAGAGGGATTACAGGGCGGGAATGCTCACGCTTTCCAGTCGGGGTCATGGCCCAAGAGAAGGGGGTTGCCCACTATGATGAGCAAAGCTTTGGCCCGGGTCACAGCCACGTTGAACCTCTGGAAGGAAGAAGTGGTGGGGTCATGGGAAGGAAGGGCCGGAGGAAGGAAGAATTCCTGCCACACCCACGAGCCCTCCAACCTTGGGGTTCTTAAGGAAACCCAGGTTAAAGTCCAGATCCAGCTGCACAAAGCTCTGGCTGCTTCGCACGGTGGAGATGAGGACCACACTGCGTTCTTGGCCTTGGAATTCTTCCACAGAGCCCACCTAGAAGAGATAGAGGCAGGGCCTGAGAATGGGTGGGCTCAAGGGGAACTTAAGGGGCAACATCTGCCCCATGGCGCTTGAGCTGCAAGGAGGGTACACTGGGCAATTGTCAATCAGTGGGTGAGTGCTGCTACAGGGGACAGGAGGCATKCTCTGGAAGCACAAGCCTCAAGAATGAAGCCAGCTCTGGGATCCGGCCTGTAAAGCCTTCAGAACAAAGCAAACAGTGTTGCAAAGAACACAGTAACCACAAACAGTGTTTCTGAAACTTTCCTGGAGATAATCAGCAAGTACTTGTTAAGACTATAGAACCTTGGGCCCTAACCCAGACCTCCTGATCAGAATTTTCCAAGGCAGAGGTCTCCAAATCTCAAAAGAGTAGGTTTCAGGCTTGTACCTGAGGAGCTGTAAAAAATACCAGTGCCCTGGCTCTGCCCCTAGATAGCAGTGTTAATTGGCTGGGAGGGGCCCTGGCAGTATTAAAAGCCCTCCAGGTGATTTTTCTCTGTATTCAGAGCTTCAAATCACCATCTCAGAGCAAGTGGTAAGCTACTGAGGGTGGAGATGAGGTGACAATATCACATGACAGGCGGGGGTAGGCTGTGGCATTTGGACTTCATTCTGAGGGCAAAGACCTCAAACCTGCCCTGATCACAGTGACGTGGGAGCTTATTAAACATGCAGGCTTCCTGATCCCATGCCAGAACTATAAGCTGGAGCTTTGAGGAGCAAGAGGCTGGGGAAAAAGCCAGTTCTGTCCCAAGGCAGTGGAGGTGGGACAGAGACATGGGCCAGACTGAAGCAGTGGCACAGGAGCTGAGGTCTCTGATTTGGGAAAAAGAAGGGTACAAAGAAGGTGAGAGTGAATGTGGAGTAGTGTGTCACCTTCAAGTCCTTTATGTCATCCAGTCTCCAAAGCTCCCTGTCAAGTTTGGTGATGCAATAACGGATTTTTTCCACCTGGAGGGAAGGGAAAGGCATCTTTCTCTTATGCAGTCACCTCAATTCAAGAGGAACCAGGCAGGAAGGAGGCCAGGGGGCTGGGGAGCAAAGAGGGAGGAGGCGGCTGACCTCTGCACTCTTCTGAGATATAGGGCCAGCAGAGGCCAGGGCTGTTCGAGAGGTATCACCTGGGGGAGGACCCATCCTTGCTGGGAACTGAGGGCCTGACCTGCTTCCGGTATGGCGAGATGACTCCAACGCTTCGTGGGCTCAGGCGGGCTTTCCCCTTCTTAGAGGAAGGGGCCAGGAGCAGCTTCAGGTAGGAGGTCACCGTGGCAGCCTCTTCAGGGTTGAAGAAGGATGGGCTATTGCCCTCACGCTCATCTTTACCCATCACACCATGAAAGATGATGGGAAATCCCTGGACACAGGGTTAGAAGAAACCCTCAGCTGGACTTCCCTGCTTCCCTTCCCTCCCACTCCAAAACCCTGGCAGGGAATAAGGAAGCTCAGGCCAAGGTGACAACCGGAGGGACCCCTGGTGTCCAGTCTGAGCCTCTTCCTACCTTCAGGAGAACAGTCAAGATATGGGGGTGGGGGCCTGAGYCCTGCTCTGTCCAGCCTCACCTTTTGAGGCAGACCCTCCCAGCGGCAGAAGCGCTCTCGATCCACCACATCTGCACAGGCCTGCAGCTCTCCATCGTAGTAGAGTTGGTTGGGAATGTCCAGGATGGTGGGATGGGACCTGGGAGGCAAGAGGGAGGGAGAGCTAGACCAAGGCCTGGATTACTTTTGTCCTGCCCTGGGGGACCCAGCTTTACAGGCCCACACATGACTGTCTTGCTTCCTGCTTCCTGCATAGCAGGACACATTCACCTGCACGCTCTCCTGCCAGGCATTGCACACCACATAAAGCAGAACTTGTGGGTCCRTAGGGATCCAGTGACCAGTGAAATTATTATTATTTTTTTTCCAAATTACTTTTAAAAACTAAGATTTGTCAGGCATGGCGGTGCATGCCTGTAATCCCAGCGGTCTGGGAGGCAGAGGCAGAGGCAGGAGGATGACCAGTTCAAAGCCAGCCTCAGCAAAAAGCAAGGCACTTAAGCAACTCAGTAAGACCCTGTCTCTAAAAAAAATACAAAATAGGCCTGGAGATATGGCTCAGTGGTCACGTGCCCAGTTCAATCCCTGGCACACCCCACCCCTCAAAAAAAAAAAAAAAAAAAAACWCTAAGAAATTAGGGACTCAGCTTTCAATTTTGCCAAGGAAGGGCAGTACAAAAACAATGTATCACTTCCTATCACCCTTATTTGAGATAATATGTTAAATCCAAAAATAAAAAAGTAACGACACAATAACATTTCCTTTCTGCAACTGTCCCATCTGGTACTCATCCAAGCATTTTTAATGTCTAAACTTGTTCAGTAAAAGAAGTATATAAACAGGGTGTGGTTCTGTGCTTGTAGGTCCAGCTAGCTATTCAGGAGGCTGAGGCAGGAGGACTGCCTGAGGCCAGCCTGGGCAACAAAGAGACTCTTAAAACAAAACAAAACAGGGCTGGGGATGTAACTCAGTGGTAGAATTTTTGCCTAGCAGTGTGAGAGCCTGGGTTCAATTCCCACCACTGCAAAACAAACAACCCTGCCTAGCCCTCTAATTTGAATGATAATATGTTTATGAAAAACTATTCATTTTCTCATTTCTCCTTGGATTGCCTGGAAATGCCATCTGAGACAGGTATCGGGCACATCCTGGTGTCTGACCACCCCCACATCCAGATAATCTCACTAGTCCAGAATGAAACCACCAGCTAAAGGAGGCCTCCGACCTTCCAGTCGAGAGTCCTTTCTGCCTCACAGAGGCGCTGAGCACCAGGAATGCTGACCAAAGCCTCCTGCTGGGGCGCAGAGGGTGCGAAGGCACGGGCTATCAGCGGAGGGAGATGAGGGTGTGGGGATACCTGTAGTTGCGTAGCAGCTTGGTTATGAACTGAGGGTCATAGCCATCGGGGCCCTTCTTGTACAGGGCATTGTAGGTGAGCAGCCGTTCCAGCAGTGAGTACCCCAGCCCATACTTCTGTGTCAGTGGGGAGCGCAGCACAGGTCCTAGCTGTCGCGGGTCTCCAGCCAGCACCAGCTGCCCTCCTGGATTGCCTGTTTCCTTAACTTCCATCAGTCCTAGAAGGCAAGGGTGGTATGAGGAGAAAGGTAAGTGGTGGGACCTCCCCACGCAGGGTGGCGCACCTGCAGCCCACCCTGAGCCCCTCACCTGCTATGGCCACCAGACTCTCAGGTTCCATGCAGTGGCCGGCCTCATCAATGAAGATGTGTGTGAAGTGATCGATGGGAAACTGGGCCGACACCAACCTGGGAGGTGTCAGGCCAGGCAGGGTCATCCCCAGGCACCCAGCTGAATGCTCACCCAATCTGGTCCCCCGCCTCACCCACTGAGAACCCTTCCCCATCTTCCCAGCCCACTACCCTTTTATTTACACACAGTCCCCACCTGCTGGCCGTAATGAGAGTGGTAATTAAGACGCGGTATTCCTGCAGCTCCTTCTTGGCAGGAAACACATACTCCCCCTTTTTCGCATCCCAGTTACAGCAGGGCTGTGGATGGTGAAGCAACACGAGGCATCAGCTTGGCTCTACCCACGCCCACCCTCACTCTGGCACTGGGCCACTTTATAGACAAGGAAACTGAGGCCCAGGGAGGGTTCTCACCCACCCAAGGGTGAGGATCCAAGTCTCCCTAGTTTTCTGGTTTGTCCTTAGAGACTCCCAGGCATCTGCCATCCCTGGACCCTCTGCACTTCCCTTACCTTAATATCCTCAGGTACCATGCGGATGTCCCTGCTGGGGGCCAGGAGACGGTAGATGGAGCTGGGCAGGTGGACCCGGAGCCGCTGACAGAGAAGGTCAGCACCCGAGTTGGACGGAGCGCAGGCTAGGATGTGAGCTTCGGGCAAGTGCTTCACCACCTGAGATGCGGACAGGTAGAGTGTGGGAAGCAGCTTCCCGAACTCTGGWGACTCACACTGGGGCAGTGCAGCATCTGCCTCCCACAGCCAAGGGAGGCAGTGATATAAAAGGCAAGTTCTATCCCGGAGCCCTGCTAGTCCAATTAGCACTTTGACGTGGGACAACAACTGCAATGAACCCACAAGTCTATGAAGACTGAAATGTAAAAGGTCACTCCAAGAGCCACACCTACACTCCAAGTGCCCAACCTATACAACAGTGCTCAACAGCCACACTGACTCTAGCTCCTCACCTTTTTTTAAAAAAAAATTTATAGTTGTAGATGGACAGAATGCCTTAATTTTATCCATTTATTTTTATGTGATGCTAAGGATTGAACCCAGTGCCTCACCCATGCTAGGCAAGTGCTCTGCCACTGAGCTACAGCCCCAGCCCTCCCCATCTCCTTTTGATGGCTGCTGAGAAACAAGAACTTTCAGGGAGATGAAGGAAATCAGAATTTGGGGATAATCACTCCATCTGGGGGAGTCAAGGATATAGGTCCCAGGTTTATCCTCAAGCCTCACCTGCTTAATGGCCTCCACTAATGTGACAGTCTTGCCAGTGCCTGGAGGCCCAAAGATGATGTAGGGGGCTGGACGTGTGGTGCCCATAACAATGTGCTTCATGGCCTGCAGCTGCTCTGGGTTTGACTMCAGACTCCGGTCATACAGCCTGGCAGGGAGGCCGGGAATCCGAACTTCAACTTATCCAGCATCCCAGAGGCCTCTAGGACTCCATCCCCAACCCCCACACTCCAACCAGCCCTGGAGTCCCCTGCCCTCCGTCTCACTTGAGCTTCACATCTGAGGGCAGCAGCGGGACCCCACGGGAGGCCACAGGAAAAAGCATGGGCCACAGCAGCCAGCGCCCTGTCAGTTCCAGGGCCCGATGCTGGACCCGCAGGGGCTGGCGGTTGAAGGTGAAGTTCACCTTGAAGGTCAGCCCATCCACAAATCGGCTCAGGAGGCTTTGGATAGAGAGAAAGGTAGAGGAGCTCCAGTTAGGTGGGCCAGGCAGCAAAAAGCCAGGACCTCCCTCCACCTCCCTCTGCTCCACTCCCTCTTTCCAAGACYTCCATAAAAGCTCCCTAGGAGAGGCAGCTGCTGAGGTGGCTCAGAGTCCCCCAGAAGAAAAGCCCCTGCCCTGTGCTTGGGATCCACTCATCTTAGGAGAAAGCCTCTCTTCTCCCCTGGCCTGAGGGAGAAGACTGAGGAAGGGTTCCCCCAACACCCACCTCGTGGAAAAGCTCAGTTTGACAYGGTCCAGTTCCACCTTGTGCACGAAGCCCTTGTAGGTGATGGGGTCCTCCTGCTGTGTCTCAGAGGACAGAAGGGCAAACAGGTGGTCCCCCCGCAGCACTGAGGGGCGGCTCTCGGTCACACCGGGAACCTACAGGGTGTGAACGTAAGCAAGCTTCTGTCCCAAGCATGGTCACTGAAGGACCCAACCCCCAGGCTCTCCAGACCTCTGAGGGACAAAAACTGAGGCTCTGGCCTTCTAACCCAAGACTCAGAGAGCTGCRTTTTCCCTGTCCCCCTTCCTCTCCCACCAGACAGGAGTTGTGGGGAGAGGAAGGAGACGACCGTCCCAAGCTGCTCACAGGTGCAGAACTCCAGGGTGCTAGTTTAAGGCCTGGCAGCCGCTTCCCACTCTACTCAGCTGCCCTCTCACCAGCTCAGTCCTACTCTGCCTTTAAAATCTTGTTAAAACTCATCTCCTGYAGTCATCTTGCCCTGATCATCCTTGTTCTCTCTTCCCACCTGCATTTGTGTGCAGAAATTCATTCTCGTGGGTAATTCTGGTCTCAGGTGCACACATTCAAAATCTGTGAGCTGGAAAGGGCCCTCAGAATTATCCAGTCCAGCTCTATGCTTTTTAGATAAGGGACCTATGGCTCAGAGAAAGCAAGGATCTTGCCCAAGATCACACAGCCAGTAGTAGCAAAGTCTAGATTAAAACCCCAGTGTCCTGCTCTAACACCATTTGGGGCAAAGGATGCCCACCCTACCCCTTGCTGACCCCTCTGGGACAGGAACCATTTTATCCTTCTTCTAGGTTTGCCCTGTATTTAGGAATGGCCTATAGAGGTTGGCTGACTTGAGCCCACCCTCCCTGCACCTGATCTGAGCCCCAACCTCCAGTGTGAGCAGCCTGGGGTTCTGGTCCACGGAGTCCCAGGTCATGGGCACCGATTCCAGGTCATAGTGCCGGATGTCGTGCTCCATCTGCAGCTCCTCCAGGTGCAGCAGCAGTCRGAGTTTCACCTCATAGTTCCTCCACTTCAGGGCTGTCTCCAGCTGGGCCCTGGCAGTGATGGTTGGGGGATGAAGTGGGAAGCGCAGGAAAGGGACAGGTCAAGCACTCCCATGACCCCAGGAGCATCTACCCTCTCCCATTTGAAGCTCTGTGACTAGGAGCACACCAGGAAGCAGAGAAGACCAGAAGGACAGAGAAATGGATKGGGTCAGAGGCCTTGAAGAAGGGAGCCCCAACTCTTGCTTCCTCCCATGTCCTTGCCCCAACCTCAGACCTGACTTGAGTATCCGCGGTAGATCTTATGGTGGAAACATTCTCCCCCAGATCCTCCTTCCATGACTCACACCCTAACCTCATTCAAATGTCACACTCTGTTCAAATGTCACCTCCTCAAAGAGGTCAGGACTGACTGCTCTCTGTAAAACATCACCAATTCATCCCCTTGTCCTGCTTTGGTTTTACTTTAGCATTACTTGAGTTCTTCAAAGCACTCACCATAATATGGAATGTACAAGATAAAATAAAAGAAATGATCAGTGCTCACTGTTCCCCACCAGAACGGGCAAGGCCCATCTGGAACAGCACCTGGCAAGTGGGCATGCTCAGCAAGGGTGAACGAATAGAGCCTGGGAGGCCGGACAGACATCCAGAGCAACAGGCAGAGGCCAGCAGGGAGAGAGAAGGCGGGAGTGGGGTGCAGAGGGGAGGCACTTACTTGATCTCAGCAATCTCCTTTGRGGCAGTGAAGATACTTGTTCCCTGAAGAAGGATGGGGAGCAGCTGCCTGAGGCGTGGGGGTGGGTAGTAGGTCCCCAGTGCCATACTTAGCTTCAAGTCATAGCCTTTAGCGCTGCAGAAGTGGGGGGGGGGGAAGCTGTCATAAACATTGAACCTATCACCTTCAAGACTCTGGGAATGCCCCTCCGTGGAGGATGCACAAGGAGCTCTGTGATGCCATTGCCAAAGGGTGGTCGGCAGCCTCTGCCCAAGGACATGAGCTCACTAGCTCATGGGGCTGCTCGGTCCAAGGCTGGACCATTTTTGGAAAGCCCAATACTTGGAATATTTGAAAAATATTATTTATAATACATTTTCATTATTAAAGAAGAATCTGGCAAAAAATTATAAGAAATAACATTTTTACCATCCTGGGACAGCCAATGTTAATTTTGGGGGGTATGCAGGCTTCCAGTTTATATTATGTGTGTATATATACATAGTTTTTGTTTTGGGGTACCAGAAATTGAACCCAGTGGCACTTTACCACTCAGCCACATCCCYAGCCAGCCCTTTTTAATTTTGGTTTTGAGACAGGGTCTCAGTAAGTTGCTTAGGGCCTCACAAAGTTGCTGAGGCTGGCTTCAAACTTGTAATTCTTCTGCCTCAGCCTCCTAAGTCACTGGGATTATAGGCATGTGCCACTGCACCTGGCACCTATATATTGTTAACAAAAAGTGAACAATGATCTAACTGTGAAGGTCCTATTACACAGTATTTTGTAACTAGCTAGCTATGTCAAAAAGATGTTTCCACATGAGTCCACTCGCCACGTGACATGTCCAGCATAGGGAAATTTATGGAGACAGAGATAAAGTGAGTGGCTGCTAAGGGCTGAGCAGGTGGGTGAGTGATAAAAGGGTGGTAGATAAAGGGTATTGGATCTCTTCTTTGGTGTAATAAAATGTTCTAAAACTGACTGTAATGATGGTTGCACATATCTGTGAACATACTAAAAAAAAAAAAAAATAACTGACCTGTAGGATATGTGAATTATTTCAGTAAAGCTGTTTTAAAAAAGAGAGATCTGGGTGCGTTGGTGCATGACAATAATCCCAGCACCTCAGGAAGCTGAGACAGAAGGATCAAAAGTTCAAGGCCAGTCTCAGCAACTTAGCAAGACCCTGTCTCAAAAAGGACTGGGGCTATAGCTCAGTGGTAAAGTGTCCCTGATTTCAATTCCCAGTACCACCTATATATATATATATATATATATATATAAATTTAAAAAGAGAAGAGAGGGGGCTAGGTAGAACATGGGCTTAGCATGCATGGTTTTGATCCCCAATGCTATGAGAGAGAGAGAGAGAGAGAGAGAGAGAGAGAGAGAGAGAGAGAGAGAGAGGTGTGTCGGTCTATAATGGGCTGCCTGATAATTCATTACACAGTGAAAATACTTCTTAAAAAAATGTTTTCATACTGTCCTTGGACCTGCTACTCTCCTGTAATTTGCTTCCTAGGCAGAAAAAGTTTCTGAGCCCAGAGGAGGAAATAACCTACAGCAGTAAAGGGGCCCCTGGCTCCCAGCTCTGGGCTTTTCCCAAGGGCCCACACTGTTGTGATCGGGACATGCCAAGCCCAGACAGGCCTGGAGGGAGGGCTTACAGGTCAGGTCTCTCTCCTTCCTCTATCCGGCTGGTCAACACAGGGTTTCCAGTGATCTGGGTGCGCTTGAAGGGAGTCGTGGGCTTCAATTGTGCAGCCAGAGGGCTGTGGGCGACGGCAGCCAAGAAGCGGGCAATGTAGAAAGTGCCAGCTCCTTCTGACCCCGACTCCCCAGGTCCCAGCAGCTCCCAGAGCACCGTGGCTGGGAAGTAGCCCACAAAGCTGGTCTTACAGTGCACATGCAGCTCATAGCATTCACCTGCAGGGAGAAGGCTGAGTGAATGGGAGCGGGGAGGGAAGGCAGGGACTCTCCCACCAACATGCTGACCCCGACCTCCCCCAGCTGGCCCCATCCAGAGAGGAGACCACTGGACAGCCACAGTGTGTGCTCCAAAGCTGCAGCCCTGCTAGGACAAGCCCTACCCACCAGAGTTCTTCCCTTTGGAAAGCTACTCACCGGGGCCTAGCGGACAGGGCAGCTCCTGGTCACCATAGTAGAAGGTAAACTGGGGTGTCCGGCAGAGTGGGAAGAGGTGAGTGAGGGTAACAGGTTTGTTTCCTCCGTTCCGGAGCCTCAGGGTCAGCACCTCCTTGCGGTTCAAATCCAGGCGGATAAGGAGCTGCCCATCTCGTGCTTCGTGGGGCCCCTGGACTTCCACGTCCACCCCATGCTTCCCGTGAAGATACTCAGCCCTGGGGAGAGTGGGAGTCAAGGGTGGGGGCCAGGGCAGGAGCGGCCTGGACTGCGGGATGCCCTGGGGAGAGTGCCAGCCGTACTCCCACCGGCAGCCAAGACCCCCACCTGCTTCCCCCATTCCTTAAGGAAGGGGCCTCCCCACCATCTGAGCAAACTACTCTTTTCTTGGCTGGACAGCCCCTTCCCCCACGCCCGAGCACCCCTCACAAGCAAGTGTGTGTGCACGAACAAACACACACACACACACACACACGGACACACACCTGTCATAAAAGATCTTGGCTAGCAGTGACTTGTGGTGCTTGCTGATATCTGAGCTCAGCTTCATTCTCCTCTTTTCTGGGAGCCGCGAGTCAATCCAGCGGTCGAGTTTGAAGAACCTGACCCGAGTCTTGGTGACGTAGGCCAGATTTGCAATCTTCATTCCATACAGCATGGAGGAGAAGCCAGGGGCGGGGGTCCCAAAGCTGCCAGAAGCAGAGGAGACTGGGAAGTGAGGGGAAGGCAGGGCCAGGGGACGGGTGGTGGTGGGGGAGGGTGGGGCAAGGGCCTCTGAGGGTCACTCTGTCCTGGACACACCAGCTCTGCCGCAGAGCAGGCTGGGGCTCAGGGACAGAGAGATTCAGGCTGGGGACAGGAGAAATTTTTAATGTCTTCAGGCAAGGCAATGGGACTTCCCAAGGCAAAATAAAACTGGTTTAAATAGCACGTTGTGGATTATGCACTTCTGAGGAGAAAACCCCACTATGGGCTGTTGATTGGGAGGACTTAGTGAAGAGACAGAAAGAAACAGACTTTTTTGGAGGGTGGGGGTGGGGAGCGAACTTTGGGACAAGGAAAAAACCCCAAACAACAACAACAACAAAAAAAAAGTGGAAAGAGTTAAGGCCAATGGGGAGCCAAATAAGTTGATTGAGAGGAGTAGATATGGGGTCCTGCCTGTGGGTGAGAGAGGGGATGAGAGAGAGCAGAGATGTCCAGAGTGTGGGCAGGGTGGCTGATGAGACAGCAGTTTCAACCGGAAGTCAAAGGGTGCAGGTGGGACCCAAGCAGGAAGGGAAAAGGTCCTTCTCCAGAGATCAGATAGCTTTGTGCCTAGAGAGGTGAAGACAGGGAAAACTGGTCAGCGGGACAATGACCTTGAGGTTCGGCGCCTGGAATTCAGTTTAGTCAACTCCACAAGCACTTACAGAGGTCTGTTAGGTGCCAGGCACTGTGCTAGATGCTGGGGGTTCCAAGATGCAAGAGGCCCAAACCCTGCCTTGAGAAGCACTCGGACTGGAACCCAGAGATTCCAGTGTGTGACCGCAATGCAGCCTCTGAGGCTCCCAGGGCAGCCTAGGGGAGGAGACAGGTCTGCCAACAATGAATGGGCACTACCCAGGCAAAAGAGGGAGGGCACAGTGAGTCAAGGTGAGGGGTGTGACCTCGCTACCTGGGCCCTTACTGCACCTCTGGGAGCCTCGCTTCCCTCCGTTATGAAAAGGGAATAGCAAGGCTTGCTTCTTTTAAAGGTTGCTGTGAGCCTCACCCAAGATAGCAGCATTGCGGCAAGCCACTTAGCCCAGCACCTGGCACATAGGAGACCCCAGTAACAGTGAGTGATGATTAGTATCACATACAGTTTGGTTGCACTAGAGTGAGAAGTGCGAGGGGAGTGGCAGGAGGCAGCAGAGGTAGGCAGGGACCAGATCAAGCATTTTTGACCCTGAATGCCAGCAGTCCTTCACTCCCCTTTCCTGGTACCCCCAGGAGCCCAAGGACACTCCCACATGTGGCGTACTTGATGGACACGTTCAGGATCCAGGCGACTGACACCCTCCCTTGATGTTTTGTAGGGATGGAGAGCAAATCTTCATTCCTAAGAATTATGGTAATCCCTATTAACTCTTGAAGCTAAATCATCATGGTCACTTTCTAGGGCATATGATAAGATTGCTGATGGCTAGGAGCAGTTCCCTGGTGCCCCCTGCCTGTAACTCTGCCCCTCTCCTTCACCCCAGGCAAACGAGAGCAGTATCATTCAGAAAACTTTGAATTGGCTATAATTTGTTTTAAAAAGATAATCATTTGAAAGCATAATGGAAAATGATCAATAAATGTTAGCTACTATTATTAGTATTTGTATTAGTAGTAATAGTAGTACTAATAGTGGCAGTAGTAGGAGTAGTAACAACTTACTTTCAGCCCTTGTCAGAGGCTACCCTGCGGTTACAGAACCACTGCAGTTGGTGGGTTTTAAGCAGGGGAGTGGCAAGATCATATTTGCATTTCAGATCACTCTGGCATCAGGATTGGAGGATGGATTTGCTGGAGGCAAGACTGTAGGCAGGGAGACCAGTTAGAAGGAGGCCATTGCAATTGTCTGGTTAAAAGAACAAAGGCCTGAACAAGGTAGTGATAGGAACAGAAGAGGGGCCAGATCCATCAGATTTAGAATGTCAATTAGCAGAATTTGGGAGGCTGGGAAGAGGAAGGAGTCTAGGATACCCAGATCAATGGCTTGGCTTTGGGAAACATCCCTGAGACAGGAGGCAAAGACAGGAGGAGGAGGTGGTGGAGGAACGGACCATAACATTTGGATTTGGACATGCTGGGTTTGAGACTCCTCTGGTCCAAAGGCAGCTCTGCCTCCATGAGTCAGAAACTGAGAATTCAGGCCAAAGTCAGGGTCAGTGCCTAATGTTAGGGAGTTCTCAGGTGGTACTTATGACCCAGGAAGTGTTTGGGATCTTCCCAGGAAGGAAGGGAAAACAGAAAAAAACCCTCAAGAGAGGGAGGAAAATCAGGAAATTTCTCAAAATCAGGTGTCAGGTCTAAATGAGGGGTCCAGTAATAAAAGGACTGGAATCTAGAGACCATCCTGAGTCTTTTCATCACCAGGTTCATGGGTTGGGGCACAAACTAAAATGCTTACAAAAGCCAGGTATCTTAACACCCATAGCCCCAGCCCACAGCGTCTGCAGTCCCATTTCTGAATCACTCCTGTAGGAATGACTATATGTCTCTCGTAACTGTGGTGTAAGAAAACAACAGAGCAGGCACTTTGAAATGTGGCTTTGGGCTCCTCGGTCAGTGCTGGGAGAAAAGGGGGCTTTGTGGGACTGAACAAAATGGGAACAGCATGCCCGACCTACAGGGGACAACTGCTCCCCACCCCCAGCCACCATGTGGCCAGCAGAGGACAGAGGCCCAAGATGATCTGATCTTCTGGCTTTTGGGAGAAGACAAAATTGAAATTTTAATGTGAAATCTATTTTTGGAAACTTCTGCATGGGCACAGAGGTATACAGAACTCATCTTTGCAACTTCTACTATCCATGTGAGCCCTTAAATACTTTTCGAATAATTTTCTGTTACTCCTACTCAAATTAATTTATCCCTGGTATAAAGTGATAGCCATTATTATTATTATTTTTTAAATCACGAACTTAATATTATTGTTTTCTTTCTTTTTTTTKGGGGGGGGGGTGTTTACCAAGAAGGCTTAACCACTAAACCATATCCCCAGCCCTTTTTATTTTCAGACAAGGTCTCACTAAATTGCTTAGGGCCTCACTAAGTTGCTGGCTTTGAACTTGTGGCCCTCCTGCCTTAGCCTCTTGAGCTGCTGAGATCACAGGCACATCTGTTGAAACCCCCACACTTTGTATTACATACATCTAGTCACCTAGATTTCTAGGGATAACTTTCTAGCCAAGACTGAAAACCTGGGTTTTTAAATTTATTAAAAAATACACATTTTTAGCCAGACACTAAAGTTCAATCCCCACTACCCTCCAAACAAACAAACAAACATTTTTTACTATTAAAAAATATTTTGTATGGCAAGAAGTAGGATAAACAGGGGCTAAGGGTGTCGCTCAGTGGTAGAGCACTTGCCTAGTGCACAAGGGTCTGGGTTCCATCTCCAGCAATGAAAAAAAATGTAATATAAACAAATTCAACAGATAAACACCAAAAAGTACTTGAAATGCAGATGACAAAGGGTTAAGCTTAATTTACAAACTAACAAGATGAGCAATTCGATAGAAAAATCGAATATTTAATTTGAAGAACAAATCTAGGTGACCAAAAGAGTATGAATATGCCCCAGATGTAGAGAAATGCAAACTAAAATAAAAATGAGACCTTGTTTTATTCCTATTAGGCTGATAAAAGAGAAAAACAGTTCTAACATCGATTGCTATTATGGTTTATGGAAAAGTGAACTGATACATTGCTGGTAGAAATGTAAAGTATTATGAGCTTTTTGGGGGGCAGTACTATGGAAACATTTATGATCAATGAAAACACAGGGATCCTAGCCACGCATGCGCAGCACCTATAGTCCCAGTTACTCCTAAGCTTGAGGGAAGAGGATCACTGAAGCCCAAGGGTTTGAGGGCACCCCAGGTAAATAAAATAAAATACAGGTATCCTATTAAAAAACTAGATTAAAGACAAAGCAAAAACAAAAAATACAGGTATTCTTAAGACCCAGAACCCATTCCTAGGAAAGTATCCCACGGAAAGAAAAATATCAATGGGTAAGACCACATGCACAGGGATACTGAAGTCATTCACATTTATTTTCACAACTGGAAATGAAACAAATGTCCATCAATGTAATGATGGCTGACTAACCTGTAAACACTCACTCTGCGGAATATTATGCAGTCATTATAAAGAATGCATCAGAACCAGTCACACAGCTAAAATTTTAAAGGATGTCAACAGCAAACACTGACAAGGCAACTGGGACTCTCACTGCACTGTTGGTTGGCATGCCAAATGGTACAATCACTTTGGAGAAAGATATGATGGTTTATGATGGTTTCCTGAAAACTAAACATATACCTACCCTGTATGACTCATTAATTCTGCTCCTACATCTGTCTCCAAAAGAAATTATAATTTATGTCCACAAAACAATTTTATTTGTTCAAGATGTTCATAGCAGCTTGATTCAAAATAACCTCAAAAAAAAAAAAAGGCAGAAATAGGAACAGATACACAATACAAAACTCATTTATATTCATTCAATGGAACTCAGTGAGAAAAGGAACTACTGCTATACACATCATGGTGAATCTCAAAAATATTACCCTTAGGGGCTGGGGTTGTGCCTTAGCCCTAGAGCGCTTGCCTCTCGCATGTAAGGGCATGGGGTTCTAACCTCAGCACCACATAAAATAAATAAATAAAAATATTGTGTTCATCTACAACTAAAATAAATAAATAAAACCACCTGGTGATTCAGACAATGAAATTGGATAACAACAAAAAAATATTATGCTGAGTGCAAGATGCCTTACACAAAAGAGTACAAAGTGTAAGATTCTATTATATGAAGTTCCCTAGTGGGAAAAATCAGAGCCAGGGTTGCCTCTGGGTGGGTAAAAGTGAAGACTGACTAGGGAAAGGATACAAGGGACCTTCTGGGGTGACCAGATGCTCTGCATCTCCATCTGGGGGATTTAAGTGTTACATTCTATGAGTTTGCAAACTCTGTCCACTTCGCTGAATGTAAATTTTACTAAAAAGAAAAAAGGTAGCTCAGTGGTAGAGTGCTTGTTTAGCATGCATGTGGCCTTGCCTTTGAACCCCAGCACAACTTAAAATAAAAAAGAAGAACCCCGATGGGCATGATGGTGCACACCTGTAATCCCCGTGGCCCAGGAAGCTGAGGCAGAGGGATCCCAAGTTCAAGGCCAGCCTGGGCAACTCAACAAGACCCTAAGCAACTTAGCCAGAGCCTCTGGGTTCAATCCCCACTGCCAAAAAAAAAAAGAGGGGGGGGGAATCGGGGAGGGAACCATAATAAAATTTGAACTCTCAATGATAATCATGCCTATGTGTTAAAGGGAAAATTATAATTATAAATTACTTAGAAATGCATCATGAAAGACTAAGATAGAGGGATAGATTGATAAGCAGACATGTAAAATGCTAATTAAGAAAAGTGAAGCATGTGCCTATAACCCTGTAGCTCCAGCTACTAGGAGACTGAGGCAGAAAGATTGCAAGTTCAAGTCTGCCTGGGCAATTTATCGAGACCCTGCTTCAAAATAAAATTTTTAAAAAGGGCTGAGGATGTAGCGTAGTGGTAGAATACACACGTGCAAGGCTCTGGGTTCAATCCCCAGTACCAGGAAAAAAAGAGAGAGAAGAAAAGCAAAGTGAGATGCTGAAAATATGCATCACGCAATCCCTTTTTATTTTATTTTATTTATTTATTTGGTAGTGCTGGGACCATACCCAGACCTGCATACTGGGCAAGCACTCTACCCCAGAGCCACATCCCCAACCCCATAATCCCTTTTTAATAAAAACAACGACCAAAAAAAAAAAAAAATACCCTGGTTGATACTACCTGAGTGTAGAGTAGAATGTGGAAATGGAAATGGGATATGAGATGCTGAGAGGCCCACAATAAAAAGCATACATGAGGATCATAGGTGTAAAATAAGTATGAATGCATAAAGAGAAAAATGAAAGGTCAGTCACCAAAAGGGTTAAAACAACACATTTAAACAGGACAAATGCCTAAGATAAAATGATAAAGGCCTTCATCCCCTCATTGCCAACTGCTTGCTTAACTGAGAGGTAAAGCAAACAAATTTCATTTTTTGCATACATATATAAACAGATTTTTCACACACACACACACACACACACACACACACACACACAATAAGATTATACATCTACCATACTATTCTGCAGAAGACTTCCACCACCATGGTGCCCTTCCATGACCACGCCCTTTAGAGGCTCTTGGTTCTTTTGAACAGCTGCAGAGGAGAGCAGGATATAAACGCATGTGATGTGTTTATTTCTGCAGTAATACACAGTTAAGCTGCCTATACTTTTTGGATTTTCAAAACGTTACAATCATTATCCTTGCACAAAAATCTTTGTACTTACAGGCAAATGTAACCGACAAATTCCTTGAAGTAGAACTCCTGAGTCAATGAGACTTTACCACTTAGATAATAAGTTCTACCAAGATGCTCTCTAAACAGGTTGTACAAATTTCTGTTCTAACAAGAGTTTGAGAATGCCCTTTTCCAAGTCCCTAATCCAGAAATTTTCAATTTTTAAAATTTTGTACATTCTGATAACAAAAATTGGTAGCTTAAGTCTGTATTTCTCTATCACTAATATAGTCAATGATCTTTCCTTCTGCCTATCAGTCATTTGTATTTCTTCTGCAAACTGCCTGCTCATATCCTTTGCTCATTTTTTTTTTTTTTTTGAGGACTTCTTGATTGTTCTCTTTAACCTCTGGCTTTGTATCTCTTCTCTGGCCCATCCCCTAAATAGGCAGGATCATCAAA